ACCATCATGTACACCACCAGTCACCATCATATACACCACCATCACCATCATACACCACCTGTCACCATCATATACACCACCAGTCACCATCATATACACCACCAGTCACCATCATATACACCACCAGTCACCATCATACACACCACCAGTCACCATCATACAAAACCACCTGTCACCATCATATACACCAGTCACCATCATACACCACCTGTCACCATCATATACACCAGTCACCATCATACACCACCTGTCACCATCATATACACCACCAGTCACCATCATGCACCACCTGTCACCATCATATACACCACCATCACCATCATATACACCACCAGTCACCATCATATACACCACCAGTCACCATCATATACACCACCAGTCACCATCATATACACCACCAGTTACCATCATATACACCACCAGTCACCATCATATACACCACCAGTCACCATCATATACACCACCAGTCACCATCATATACACCACCAGTCACCATCATACACACCACCTGTCACCATCATATACACCACCAGTCACCATCACTGAACGCTCGGATGATCAAATATACACCACCTGTCACCATCATATACACCACCAGTCACCATCACTGAACGCTCGGATGAACAAATATACACCACCAGTCACCATCATACACACCACCTGTCACCATCATATACACCACCAGTCACCATCATACACACCACCAGTCACCATCATATACACCTGTCACCATCATATACACCACCTGTCACCATCATATACACCACCAGTCACCATCCGCAGTTAGAAGCCTGAGTAGATCTATAACCCACTATGATAACATGAACGTAGGTAAGTATGTTTATGGTGCAACTTGCAATGTTACAAGTACTGACTGATGTTGTAGTGGCCAGGCTTAGCCTTGGTTACAAGTACTGACTGATGTTGCAGTGGCCAGGCTTAGGCTTGGTTACAAGTACTGACTGATGTTGTAGTGGCCAGACTTAGGCTTTGTTACAAGTACTGACTGATGTTGTAGTGGCCTGGCTTAGGCTTGGTTACAAGTACTGACTGATGTTGTAGTGGCCAGGCTTAGCCTTGGTTACAAGTACTGACTGATGTTGCAGTGGCCAGGCTTAGGCTTGGTTACAAGTACTGACTGATTTTGTAGTGGCCAGACTTAGGCTTTGTTACAAGTACTGACTGATGTTGTAGTGGCCTGGCTTAGGCTTGGTTACAAGTACTGACTGATGTTGTAGTGGCCTGGCTTAGGCTTGGTTACAAGTACTGACTGATGTTGTAGTGGCCAGACTTAGGCTTGGTTACAAGTACTGACTGATGTTGTAGTGGCCAGGCTTAGGCTTGGTTACAAGTACTGACTGATGTTGTAGTGGCCAGGCTTAGGCTTGGTTACAAGTACTGACTGATGTTTGTTAGTGGCCTGGCTTAGGCTTGGTTACAAGTACTGACTGATGTTGTAGTGCCAGGCTTAGGCTTGGTTACAAGTACTGACTGATGTTGTAGTGGCCAGGCTTAGGCTTGGTTACAAGTACTGACTGATGTTGTAGTGGCCAGGCTTAGGCTTGGTTACAAGTACTGACTGATGCTGTAGTGGCCTGGCTTAGGCTTGGTTACAAGTACTGACTGATGTTGTAGTGGCCTGGCTTAGGTTTGGTTACAAGTACTGACTGATGTTGTAGTGGCCTGGCTTAGGCTTGGTTACAAGTACTGACTGATGTTGTAGTGGCCTGGCATAGGCTTGGTTACAAGTACTGACTGATGTTTGTAGTGGCCTGGCTTAGGCTTGGTTACAAGTACTGACTGATGTTGTAGTGGCCTGGCTTAGGCTTGGTTACAAGTACTGACTGATGTTGTAGTGGCCTGGCTTAGGCTTGGTTACAAGTACTGACTGATGTTGTAGTGGCCTGGCTTAGGCTTGGTTACAAGTACTGACTGATGTTGTAGTGGCCTGGCTTAGGCTTGGTTACAAGTACTGACTGATGTTGCAGTAGCCAGACTTAGGCTTGGTTACAAGTACTGACTGATGTTGTAGTGGCCTGGCTTAGGCTTGGTTACAAGTACTTCTGGCAGTTTGGGAGACACACAGATGATGATCAAACTAAATGTAAATTATGTGATCAGGCATATGGTCACTGTCTTGAACACTATGTTCTTAATTGTCCACTTATTGAGGAATACAGAGACAGACAGTATAATAACCTATGTGACATGTCAAGATATCTTATTAATGAAAATAAGATACCAGATATACTAAGCAAATTTCCTAAATTTGCTTGTAACAGATAAGTGAACTATAGATATGTAGATATAAATCCGTATGTATTCCTGTTAACCCTTTGGGGCCTAGTTCCTAGGCCTTTTGTGTATCCATATGCTCTCGCGCTACCGTCCACAGGATGGATATGGGGTGCACAATAAACTAGCCACTTCGGTGGCAAAATCTAATCTAATCAACATCATATACACCACCAGTAACCATCATACACACCACTTGTCACCATCATATACACCACCAGTCACCAGATGCGATTGATACAATGTTATGGTCCTTGAAGCAGAGCAGGAGTTGCACAAATTAACATTAAGATTGACAACACTCTAATTACCAGAAATAATGGGGGCAAATTCCTAGGCTTATACCTTGACAACAACCTGAATTTCAGCACCCATATCCAGCATATAACCAAAAAAGTATCCAAAACGGTTGGGATCCTCTCCAAGATACGATACTACGTGCCGCAAAATGCCCTTCTCACACTATACCACTCACTTATTTATCCATACCTCACCTATGCTATTTGTGCTTGGGGATCAACTGCAGCAACACACCTAGAGCCAATAATAACCCAACAAAAAGCTGCAGTAAGAATAATCACTAAATCCCATCCCTGGCAACACCCCCCCCCTACTCTACATAGACCTAAACTTACTCCCAGTTCAGTACATCCACACTTACTACTGTGCAATCTACATCTACAGGGCCTTAAACGCTAATATCAACCTTGACCTAAAATGCTTTCTTGATAGTTGTGACAGAACCCACAGGCATAACACCAGACACAAACATCTCTACGACATTCCCCGTGTCCGACTAAACCTTTACAAAAATTCAATGTATGTCAAAGGCCCTAAAATCTGGAATACCCTACCTGAGAACTCTAGAACTGCAGACACATTCATCACCTTCAAAACTACCATTAGAAAACTCTTATCTCCCTGATACACCCCGTCAACTAACTACACGAATACCACCTGGTGGTTCAAAACTTACACTCACTCACCCATTTGACCATAAACAGAAATATTAATCTCAATCTTAAAATAATGAATCCTGTGATACTCCAATACTGAAACTATGTACTGTGCCAAAACAAAAGCATTCACATTGCTAAACTCACAAACTAGTATTTAGTCACTTAGCCATAATACCAACTTATCTCATAATTTGTAATATTTTACAATTAAGAATAAAACTAAGTCTGCCCGAAATGCGTAGCCATGCTAAGCGTTCTAGTGGTACACTCTGTAATCACAATTTTACTACATGTAAACCACACAATAACCAAATTTCTGTAAACTCAGCATTGTAATCCTTATAGAGAATAAACTTTGAATTTGAATTTGAATCATACACACCACCAGTCACCATCATATCTCGGCCCCTGCAACCACAATTAGGTGAGTACACCACCAATCACCATCATATACACCACCAGTCACCATATACACCACCAGTCACCATTATATACACCACCAGTCACCATCATACACACCACCAGTCACCATCATATCTCGGCCCCTGCAACCACAATTAGGTGAGTACACCACCAGTCACCATCATATACACCACCAGTCACCATCATATACACCACCAGTCACCATCATACACACCACCAGTCACCATCATACACACCACCAGTCACCATCATATACACCACCAGTCACCATCATACACACCACCAGTCACCATCATATACACCACCAGTCACCATCATATACACCACCAGTCACCATCATACACACCACCAGTCACCATCATATACACCACCAGTTTACCATCATACACACCACCAGTCACCATCATATACACCACCAGTCACCATCATACACACCACCAGTCACCATCATTTTACACCACCAGTCACCATCATATACACCACCAGTCACCATCATATACACCACCAGTCACCATCATATACACCACCAGTCACCATCACTGAACGCTCGGATAATCAAACATTTTCTGTGTTTATTGTAGCATACTGAGAGGATTTTGGCTCGGTTATCTTCCAAAAACTGCCACAAGAAAGTAGCTCATGTGTAAATTTATCCTTCTGGTGTCCTTCATGATGAACAGACCCCAGTGGATATCAATGTCCCCAATGGAAAGCAAGGACACCAGTGGAAAAAATGTCACTTTGACTTTGGGGACAAAAGGTTTTTAGGGCTTGAGGTGCTGTTGGAGTGTGAGCTAGGTAACATGAAGGGATTCAGGGAAACCAGCAGGCCGGACTTGAGTCCTGGAGATGGGAAGTACAGTGTCTGCACTCTGAAGGAGGGGTGTTAATGTTACAGTTTTGTAACTGTAGTGTGAATGCAGCTCTGGCAAGACAGTGATGGAGTGAATGATGATAGTGCTACTGGGTCACATGCCGTGCTCCTTCCTTAAGTAAATGTGACCTGATCTGACTAAGTTGGGGCACTGACTTAACCCGGTAGGAGGAGACTTGGACCTGCCTCGCATAGGCCAGTAGGCCTGCTGCAGCGTTCCTCCTTTCTTATGTTCTTATGATGAAAGTTTTTCTTTTTTGGGCCACCCTACCTTTGTGGGAGATGGCTGACGTGTTAATAATAAAATAAAATAATCAAATGGAAATGGAAATATGACAGACAGTCCTCAATGATGCATCGACTTTCATGGGTTATCCTGGGTGGATAACCCTCAGGGTTAAAAATCTGAACAAATCTTATCTTTGTTTAATCTCATCCTCCTATTGCAGGTGGCAACGAAGGGGTACGTGGGTCTAGGGTTCTCACCCACAGGTGGCATGAAAGGAGCGGACATCATACTGGGCTGGGTGGATGATGCAGGCAGTGTCTTCCTGCAAGTGAGTAATTTAGAGATGCTATTTCTTGCAGCTGAATGTACATAAAGATGATACATCTGAACTTACCTTTTAATTTTAATCAGAGAAAAGATTTCAGTAGTCTGAATGCAGTTGGAACCTTGGTATGCGACCTTAATTCATTCCAGAAGGTTGTTCGAGTGTCGCTCCGTTTGAGTATCGAACAAGTTCTTCCCAACCAATTTTCTGTTTGATTGGCTGTTATCACTAATCTTTGTAGGCCCCATGGTGACTTATTTATACAAATAATACAAAAAAAAAAGATGCAAAGAAACACGAAATAGTTTACAGCGAAGTTCTGGCAAGTCGTATTTGTTTGGTTGAGTGCTGAGCTTTGTTCACGTAGGGAGCTGGTCGTATACCGAGGTATACCAGAAGTATCATGTATGCTTGGGAGTGTAGCCAGAGAAGACATTTTTGCAAAGGAGTAATTGGGGATACTATTTCTGCATTAATAAATAATAAAGTGTTTATCTTTGTGAAATATTATTTCTTTTTCTATTCATTAATTTCCCTGAGGAGGAGCCAGCCTTAGTAATACTGTCTGAAGTTGTTACAGGGCTGACTAAGCCTTCACACACTGTAAATGCTATAGATAAATGCATGCCTGTGCAACCAGAGGTATTTATGCATGCCTGTGCTACCAGAGGTATATATGCATGCCTGTGCTACCAGAGGTATATATGCATGCCTGTGCTACCAGAGGTATATATGCATGCCTGTGCTACCAGAGGTATATATGCATGCCTGTGCTACCAGAGGTATATATGCATGCCTGTGCTACCAGAGGTATATATGCATGCCTGTGCTACCAGAGGTATATATGCATGCCTGTGCTACCAGAGGTATATATGCATGCCTGTGCTACCAGAGGTATATATGCATGCCTGTGCTACCAGAGGTGTATATGCATGCCTGTGCTACCAGAGGTATATATGCATGCCTGTGCTACCAGAGGTATATATGCATGCCTGTGCTACCAGAGGTATATATGCATGCCTGTGCTACCAGAAGTATCATGTATGCTTGGGAGTGTAACCAGAGAAGACATTTCTGCAAAGAGTAATTGGGGATACTATTTCTGTCAGTAAGAGTAACCAGAAATACTATTTCTACAAATGAATATACAGTAATTGGCAATAGTATTTCTCCATGAGTGCAGCTGAAATACCACGTCTGCTTGAAAGTGTTGTTAGAAATTCTGATAATTAACACATTTTTAAGGTATAGTTCTCAGTACAGTATTACTGTAGAGTATCGCTTTTGACACAGTAGACCAAGGCATCCTACTCCACAAACTTGACCATTATGGTATAAGACGCCATGTGCTTGCATATTTCAAATCTTACCTTACTAATATGTATCAGTATGTCACCATTAAAGACACAGCATCAACAACAAGGCCACTTGATACTGGAGTTCCACAGGGAAGTGTCCTTGGTCCCCTGCTCTTCCTCATATACATCAATGATCTTCCAAACATATCCCAACACCTGAACCCCATTCTCTTTGCTGACTACACGACTTATGTCATCTATCACCCTAATCTTGCCACCCTCAACACCATTGTTAACGAGGAGCTGATCAAAATATCGACTTGGATGACAGCCAATAAACTTACACTTAACACTGACAAAACCTACTATATTATGTTTGGTAGCAGAGCAGGAGTTGCGCAAATTAACATTAAGATCGACAACACTCTAATTACCAGACATAATGAGGGCAAATTCCTAGGCCTATACCTCGAGAACAACCTGAATTTCAGCACACATATCCAACACATAACCAAAAATGTATCCAAAATGGTTGGGATCCTCTCCAAGATACGATACTACTTGCCGCAAAATGCCCTTCTCACACTATACCACTTACTTATTTATCCATACCTCACCTATGCTATTTGTGCTTGGGATCAACTGCAACAACACACCTAAAGCCAATAATAACCCAACAAAAAGCTGCAGTAAGAATAATCACTAAATCCCATCCCTGGCAACACCCCCCCCCACTCTTCATAGATCTAAACTTACTCCCTATTCAGTACATCCACACTTACTCCTGTGCAATCTACATCTACAGGACCTTAAATTCCAATATTAACCTTGACCTAAAACGCTTTCTTGATAGTTGTGACAGAACCCACAGGCATAACACCAGACACAAGCATCTCTATGACATTCCCCGTGTCTGACTAAACCTTTACAAAAATTCAATGTATGTCAAAGGCCCTAAAATCTGGGACACCCTACCTGAAAACTCTAGAACTGCAGACACATTCATCACCTTCAAAACTACCATTAGAAAACATCTTATCTCCCTGATACACCCCATCAACTAACAACACGAATACCACCTGGTGGTTCACACTTACACTAACTCACCCATTTGACCATAAACAGAAATATCAATCTCAATCTTAAAATAATGAATCCTAACTAGTCATAAGTTGGCCTGTGATACTCCAATACTGAAACTATGTACTGTGTCAAAACAAAAGCATTCACATTGCTAAACTCACAAACTAGTATTTAGTCACTTAGCCATAATACCAACTTACCTCATAATTTTGTAATATTTTAAATTTAAGAATTAATCTAAGTCTGCCCGAAATGCCTCTGTAATTGTTATTTTACTACATGTAAACCACACAATAACCAAATTCTGTAAACTCAGCATTGTAATCCTTATAGAGAATAAACTTTGAATTGAATATATGTGACCAAAAGCAGGACAGGTAGCATTATAAAGAAACTTTTTTACTGTACAGTGTATGTTAAAATACGTATTTGTAACATTTCTGCAGGACCGCTATGCCAGTGGGTATACAATACCAAGTGTGGACAAGTCCCAGGATGTGGAACTGCTGAGAGGATACCAGAATGACACCCACACAGTGCTGAGGTTCTCTCGACCCTGGGTCACCTGTGACCATGAAGCTGACCTCCAACTCTCGGTAATAACTCACTCATTTTCGTGGTTGATTTAACTTGCCTAATATATTGAAAAAATTATTATCTTGAGCAAACCTCATTTCAGAAAGAAATTTTCTGACCCCTCCTTATGTATAATTGTATCCTAAGAGGATAAATCTTGCTAGTTTGTTTTTCATCTTTTACTTAAATAAGTTAATTGTCCTCAGTTATAACTGTTGCCTTAGTGACCATCAGATAATAGATTATAAGCCTAATCCTCTTTATTACACAGGATGACACAGTGAGAGTGATTTGGTCATATAATGATGATGATCCAACTGATGTGATGATGATGAAGAGGCATGAGCAGCGAGGAACAAAGTCTCTCTTCTTAAAGGGACCTCAGTTTGTGATGCCATCCTTAAGTGAGGATGTGAAGATGTGGGATGTTTTCTCTCCCAATGTTAGTGACAATGTCTCTTTAAATCTGAATATTATTATACTTCGCAAGAACTTGTCAACAATGTGAAAAGTTTTAGTAGTATTTTTTATTTGTTTTACTCACCTGAATGATGCATTTATATACAGTTTACAGGTTACTAACTTCACTGTTTATATATGAGGCACAAATGAACTATAATTTAATATTATACACAGTACGAACATGTGTGAAACAACTGTAATGTTGGTGTTTATAATACTGCTTCTGTTTGCACTGTAATTAACATAATTTTAGCCTAAGTAAAAGTGCCTAATCCTACAGAGTTTAACAAATTTTTTATTTTGATTTTAAAAACTATTGAAATGTTATATATAGAAGAACACTGAAAAATTTGTTGTAAGCTAGGGACCTATATAATTTAATCTCTTGATTATTGCACAGGTGAGTCTACCAGATGACCTAAGAACACTGTACTGGTGTAAACTGCATAAGATTCCTCCGCTTCCCCGCAAAACTCATGTCATCGGGGTGGGTGTATAAGTTATTTGTCGAAGTATGTTACAAGACTGATTATATTATTATTATTAAAGATTCGCCGGTATTCTCCCGGCCCAGGCCTTTTCCAAGTGGTGGCCCGGCCTTGGCTCCCTGTCTAGGGAGTGTCTGAGACCTAAGTCTCCCATGGGAGGCCTAGCCACATTCCCCACCCTCACGGGGCTCGTAGGGAGAAGCTAGGTTTCTCTGGTCTGCCATCCCCGTCCCAAGGGGGTTATTGGGAATGACAGGTTTGTGAGCTGCAAGCTCGGGCTTAGGCACCTACCCTACCCTAGATGGGCTGGGCATGGTGTCGATCAAGACTGATTATTTCTGTTCAGATTATCAATATGTGCAGTATATTCATTTTAAATATTTGTGGAAATATATGTAAAAGTCTGTCCATGCAGAATGCTTTTGTTTTCTAGTTTTTTTTTTTTATCTGTACGGTAATATATACATTTATTAATGACAAGTTCAGTATGTCAGTTTGCTTCATTGCTTGAGGAGAAGAATGCCCGTCACAATCACCATATTCTTGTTAATTTATGTCAGTGATTGAGAAGAACATTAACCACATTCAGCATATTCTTGTTAGTTTGTTCCAGTGATTGAGGAGAAGAACCTTGAGCACGTACATCACATGTTGCTGTACGAGTGTCACCTGTCTGACAGTGAGCGTCACTATGAAAAGTGGATCAGTGTTCAAGGCAACCAGTGCTATGGAGCCAACATGCCAGTGTCTTGGAAGTATTGCACCAGTCCTCTTATTGCTTGGGCAGTTGGTGGAGAAGGTAGAGTTGAATTTAGCTTTAGAGGTGAACATATGTACATGGGTATTTCAGTTTGCCTTGATTTCTGTTTTATCTTTATTTTAATGTCCTCATTTCTGCTATTTGTGTGATAATTTATTCAGATTAACATTTCCCAGATAAAAGTACCCTCAGCCTTTTGAATTAGACCTTTAAAGCTGCCATGTCTGGCAAACCCGAAGTGAATGCTTAGGCTTAGGCTGTATGAAAAAAAGTATGACAAGATTAGCAATTTTTTTTCTTTATCTGATAAGAATATGGAACTCAAACCATTGGACATGTAGAGCCGTCTGTGTTGACTGCTATATGTTTAGTGAATAATTCAGATAAATTATTGATTCACTGCAGGAGAGATGTACCCAGATCATGCAGGTTTCCCACTGGGGGAGGAGCATGGAGGAGCCACATACTTCCTCATGGAGACTCATTATGATAATCCCAACCTCAAGCCAGGTGAGTCATGCTCACTGGAGACCAGGAGAGTGTAACCGTTGCTTGAAGTCCTGTGAAACCCTTTTAATGTCTATTTCTGATATGCTGCAGAGTATATTGAACTCGGTATATTGAACTTAAGCAACGAGACAATAATGTTTCGTAGCATAAGTCATTCTAGTGGAGGAAATACTAAAATTCAAATTATTTATCTCAGCAGGGTATAATGTTTGTATAGAGATGGGTAACACTGAGATGTGTTTGCAGGAAAACCTTCAGTATGCAGAGCATTCTGGCCAAACTTAAGCCTATCATAAGGCTAATAAGGCAGTAACTAGTTAGTTGATTGTTTATATATACATTCTCTAAGTGAGTATGAACAAAATGTGTGGTGGGAATGTTGCAAGATATCCAGACTGTTTAAGTTATACCTGCAGTAAAGTTGATAATCTACCATCAGGTTTGACATGGAATCCCACAGATAGATAACTATCACATTCTAAAATTGCATTTTCCTCCAATAGCATATTCCAATCTGGTTGATTTTTTTACATAATAATCATGTGTATTCCTGTTTGTCATTGCAGGCATTACAGTGTTTCTTTATCCCTCAGGTATTGTTGACAGTTCTGGCTTACGCATCTTTTATACCGAGCGTCTGCGTAAGTATGATGCTGGGATCTTAATGACAGGACATGCTGTTACTCCGCTGCAAATTATACCACCTAATCAAAAGTGGCTTTCCATTGGTGTCTGCCACAGCTCCTGTACACAGAAGGTATTCATACCTTTCAGTAGTTTTTGTTAAAATATCATAGTTTTTAAATATTGTAACAGACATTAGTAACTCAGATGTGACCAAGGATACTTCGGCCATACTTCAATTAAAGCAAATTTTTAAGAACTTTAAGCACTTGTGTATCATTTATTGATATAAATAACAAAGGAAGGTCATAAACATTTCATTCCAGGAGTTGCCAACTGAAGGAGTGCAGATGTTTCAAGGTATTCTTCACACACATTTATTGGGTCATGCTATATCGGTGCGACACATCCGTGAGAGCCACGAGCATCCTATACTTTTCATGGGTGAGGCCAGGTGCTCATGGTACCCTCCATATTCTTTGTGTCTTTGTATGTTAACTAATGTGTATTCAAACAGAAGTTCTCAGAGCTTCTAGGATACTGGAAGTTTGGAAAATTTACAAAATGCTTCAAGTATAAAATACTAAGTGGTTTTCCAGAAGCAGTTTTGAAATGGACTATAAAAGTCATAAACTTAACAGTATCACTCACACTGATGACCAACAGACATGAACTATGACTTCAACTACCAGCAGTCGAGGACATTAAAGGAAGAAGTGACCTTCCTCCCTGGGGACTCCCTCATCACTGAGTGCAGCTATGATTCTACTCGCAACCAACGACCAACCTTCGTAAGTTGTGTTGCTAATTGATTAACCTTGTGAATAGTTGAGGGTACACAATGTACATAGATATTTTAGATATTATTATGTTGACTGTTGTTGCATGGATTGATAATGGGTAGGAGTCAAGATGCTCTACTCTCCAGTATGGTGAGTAGGAGCATCAAGTAATAAGTCTTTCACAGTTGGAATTATCATTTACAATTACAATTTTCCTGCCTTGATGGGAGATGACAGACGTGTTGAAACAAAAAGGAGTCTTTCAAGGCGGGGATAAGGTTTTAGGTAATAAAGGCTTGAATAGCCAGCTGGCATTTTTGCATGTTAAGACATAAGATTTTGTTCAGAATTTTAACTCAGAGGGTTAGCCACTTAAGATAACCCAGTAGAGCCAATGCATCATCAGGGACTGTCTGGTAGGGGCAGTATACCATGTGCACTATTGTAAGAGCCAGACATTTAAAGCAAAATTTGGGAACAGAGTGTAAAATGTATATTACAAGGTGTTGGAAATGCAGTACCAGGGCATGTGAAAGGTGAGAAATATTTTGCTAAGAATACTGAAGTGTTTAAATGCACTGCCTCAGAAACAATAATCTAGAGTTTACATATAATATAGCTGAGAAACAATGTGTACTACAAGCACCTAACAAATAATACTTGAATCTGCAGACACATGTTAAAAATACATGAGTTTTAAAATATCATAACTTAATATTTTTTTTAGGGTGGATTTGGCACAGAGGAAGAGATGTGTCTGGCCTTCATATCATATTATCCTCGTGTAAATCTTTCTCTGTGTACCTCGACACCTCCAATGGAGACCATCTTAGGTGCTCTTGGAATACAAGATATATATAATAAGGAACAGCTGTAAGTCAAATGTTTTTTCAGTTTATATTTCTTGTATATATGTAGACTTTCTTTTTGGGTTTTTCTTTCTTTTTGGGTTACCTACCTCGGTGGGATATGGCTGATGTGCTAAAAATAAAAAGTAGACAGTCTTATTATTACAAATTAATTTGTTTCTTACTGGAGGGATGTGTTTATGTTATTTGCAAAAACTGTTGTAATATTCATCATTTATATTCTATTTTTCAGTAAGATTTACCAGACCATGATAGTCTCTTATTCATTGTGATAGTTTTAGCACTAAAACTCTTTTAAGGCATTTAAATTTTCAACATTATAGTAACTTTCACTTCACTGTTAATTTTGATGATAAAGAGATTTTGCCTTTAATAACACAAATTTTGACATGTAAATAATAATAATTAAAGCTTCATGGCTACAGTAAGTGTTCACTTAATTATTTACATGTTCTTGTAGGTGATTGTGGTGAAGTAATGTAATATTAGTGGACCGTGATTTAAAATCATTATTATAGGCTTATATCCACTCTTAAATATTTTAACCTTAATTTGTGTTTTTCAGGAAGAATTTACGAGAAAGGTAAGCTGACATAGTGTGGTTTTCTATTGTAATTCAAGGTACATCTTTGCTTCTGAATTTCGACATATTTTTGTCTATAATAAATGAAGCCTAGAATAAATCAATTTTTATTAAGCAGTAACATTTTAGATTGGTGATAAATTGGCCTCAAAACACTTGTTCTAATTTTCATTACATGTACTGTATGTATATATGTATATGTTTTTCTATACAGTGTTTGGTTAGCATAATTTCACACAGCCTAAAAGTGTATATTTGTTGTAGACAATATGGCAGACAGTTGAGTGCAGTGTTCTCTGACAGGGTGAAGGTGGATGAGAAGGCTGAAACAGCGCTGGCTGATTCTCTGCGGAATGGTGATGTGTCGTCAGGAGTTACCAAATTTGTGCTGTCTTACATGTTCCGTTCTGTGATTATTAAGGCTCCAGAAAGTAAGAACAGTGCTTGCTACTTAATTTTAAATAACTCATTATGATTTGACAAAATATAAACATGTAAATAGTTCATTACCACTGTAACTTGTTCAGCTATCAAACTTTGTGGCCCAGTCCCTGGACCTATTATGTACCTCTGTAATCTTTTGACCACAACCCACAAGATGGGTATGGGGTGCATGATAAAGATATTAAACTAAGTATGGTAGGACCCTCATATCCACAAGAGATATGTTCCAAGGGCCTGCTGTGGATACCGAAACCATGGATAGTAGCAAACCATATATACAAGTCCTATACACACCAATTATAAAATTTACTTCATAAGTTATGCACAATAAGTGGAGAATTATCACTTTTTCACTGATGGGAAGCACTTCACGGCTTCTCTTAGGCTTTGAAGAACTGCCAGCTTCTCTACCTTTGTGCTTTGGGACCATTATTATGCAAAATTAAGAGGTATTTTTAGGCTACAGTAAACAGTGGATGACTGAAACTGCAGTTACCAAATGAGTGGATACAGGGGTTATACTGTATATAAACAAACAAACTTTATTTCTGTAAAGTGGAATATCATGCAGTTGTGTGAGTATTATCTTAGGTTTTTTACTTTAAAATTTTCAGAATATGTCAACACATCTCTTTATGATATCCTGGAAGACAAAGTCACATGGGAAGAGGCTGAGGTGGTGGCATCATTGCAAGAGAAGGTCGTGTTTGGCAGACATTCCATCAGTTGTCTCAGTAGACAAAACCCAAGAGTCTTTGAAGTGAGTAACTTAATCCTCCAGTGACTTGATCCTCCAGTGATTTGATCCACCAGTACCTTGATCCTCCATTGCTGCAAAATAAAAAATCAGTATATTATATCAAAGACATGTGTACTCCCTATTTTTCTTTACTAGCTATTTTTTCTATTTAATTCACTAACATTCTAACTTTTAGTTGGAAAAAATGAGAAAATGGCATATAAAATGTCAGTTAAATTTCTGGACAAATTAATAAGATGCTTTTGATTTAATGGATAATTAAAATTGGTTTAAAACATGGAATGAGTGCTCACAGTGTGAGTAGCATTTATATATGATTATATAGCATTTATATATGATTATATAGCATTTATATATGATTATATAGCATTTATATATGATTATATAGCATTTATATATGATTATATAGCATTTATATATGATTATATAGCATTTATATATGATTATATAGCATTTATATATGATTATATAGCATTTATATATGATTATATACAATGAAAAAATGAAAACCTTAAGTTCATTAGAAGCATATATAGAAGCTATAATAAATGGGTTTGTGATTTCTTTGGTTACAGTTTTGATACAGTTATGATATACGTACAGTTACAACTCTACTCTCACAATTAATCCTCTAATCATAAGCATTTTGGACAAGCTAATCCTTCAGCTTTCTGCTACTTAATTTTAATTCTCACAAGCTGTGATTAACATTTATGTTGCACACACAAAGTGTGAATAGAATTTATGTATGAGTACACAAGTTACATTTAATATCTAGGTATTATCCCTCTAGTGTTAATTTCCAATATTTTTGTTCAGCTTGTAAATGTTTTGTGCATCCATCAGGAAATGGATGCAGTCCCATATCCAGTGTTCACAGCTCTTGAGGCCCTGGTCAGTCAGTGTGGTGCCGACCAACAAGGTTTGTCTTCCTTCTTATTTACAACAATAGCAAAGCAGTGCTTTGATTTTGATTTTGTCAGATGTTGCAGGAATTTGAAAGCAGTGTAAGTGCTTTGAAAACTCTCATTTGAGTGCTGGGTTATTGGCATGGATTATGTTATGAAATTCTAAAGGAGATGAATTAAAATATTTATAATGCTTATTCCCTGGAGTTTACCTGGAGAGAGTTCCGGGGGTCAACGCCCCCGCGGCCCGGTCTGCGACCAGGCCTCCTGGTGGATCAGAGCCTGATCAACCAGGCTGTTACTGCTGGCTGCACGCAAACCAACGTACGAGCCACAGCCCGGCTGGTCAGGTACCGACTTTACGTGCTTGTCCAGTGCCAGCTTGAAGACTGCCAGGGGTCTATTGGTAATCCCCCTTATGTATGCTGGGAGGCAGGTGAACAGTCTCGGGCCCCTGACACTTATTGTATGGTCTCTTAATGTGCTAGTGACACCCCTGCTTTTCATTGGGGGGATGTTGCATCGTCTGCCGAGTCTTTTGCTTTCATTGTGAGTGATTTTCGTGTGCAAGTTTGGTACTAGTCCCTCTAGGATTTTCCAGGTGTATATAATCATGTATCTCTCCCGCCTGCATTCCAGGGAATACAGGTTCAGGAACTATCATTATATGGGGAAGTGGAACAGAATTCTTCCTCCGTAAGCCATGCATGTCGTAAGAGGCGACTAAAATGCCGGGAGTAAGGGGCTAGTAACCCCTTCTCCTGTATACTATATTGCTAAGTGTAAAAGGAGAAATTTTCGTTTTTCCTTTTGGGCCACCCCCGCCTCGGTGAGATAGTGCCGGTGTGTTGAAAGAAAGAAAGATGTAGTAATGTAATGACTGAATGGCTATGAATATGGTTTTAGCCAATAATTTCTAAATAGATATTGATAAAACTTACCAATAGTTTGAATTTTGAGTTTGGAGTGAAAAGATGATTGTTAACCCATAAACGGTCCAAGCAGATCTACGTTCACATGTGTAGTGCTACACATACATATTTTTACATATTTTCAAATATAACAAAAAAAAAAAGTAGATCAAAGTTTTTTTACACATTTTCAAATGTAAAAAAAAAACAAAAAGAAGATCTACTTTTTTTACATACTCTCAAATGTTGAAAAAACGTATATATACGTTTGGACCGTTTACGGGTTAAACTATAGAAAGATCGCAATTTTAGTTTTATGTTTAGCTGTTAGGGAGACTAACTAAAATATGCTTGGACCTATTCTAATTATTACATATTTCTTGACTAATGTTTTCTTAGGAGCAATTAAGTAAAAAAAATATATATACTAGATGGTGGATCAAGTGTCAGATCTCAGATGTCGAAAACCTTATCTTCTCTGCTGATACTTTATTGTTATGTTAATCTCATATAACAAATTCTGTTTTGTTTATCAGTATACTTCAAAATTTTATTAAAATCATCTTAATGATTACAAAATGGACATTTTATTAATGTTTGCCTAGTGTGTATCTGAACTTTGATATAGAATACTTATAAGTAAATGGTAAAAATTTTCATTGTGCAAGACTGAGTGTGAATTTATTACCTTCCACAGGTCAAGATCAGATGGGATCACACACCAACACTCTTCCATTGTTAGAATTTACACATCGGGTGGTGATGGAGCAATCTAGCAAATACATAATGCTCTGGACACCAAGTGAGAATGATATCATCATTGAGGTTCAGGTTGGTGTCACTGGGCATGTTATCTTGAGAGGTACTACCATCCTCTTGAAGCTTGGTTAAAGCACTGTCTTACATTCAGCATGTAAGATAACATACAATTATTGTTTTCATTTTATGGGATGCTATGAATTGTAAATGCTTACAGTTGTTTTCATGGGTTGATCAATAGTTTTTATTCACATAGTTTTCCCTCTATTTGCCTGACAGTGAATAAAATGCTTTGAAGAAGCTACTGGTAATCTCATATATGCATCATGTTACCCAAAAAAGCATGATTATTTAAAAAATTAATTCATATCTCACCATGACAGGGTGACCCAAAGAATGGAACCCATTCCCCGTCACTCATTCTCAAATTCTCTCCGGAAGTGAGAAGTGCAGTGCTTGAACATTATTTATGTATACAGTATAATGTGTCAGTAAATATTTTTAATCTAGAAAAGTTAACAGAGATGTACTGAACATAGATGAAGATGATATATGGTTATGGTCTGAAGCTTACTCACACCATCGCTCATGTTGCAGGTGGCAACGACGGGGTATGTGGGTCTTGGGTTCTCTCCCAGTGGTGGTATGAAGGGTGCTGACATTGTCCTGGGCTGGGTGGACAACTCTGGCAAGGTGTTCTTACAAGTGAGTCTAGTTAAGGATTATTCCTCCAAGTGAGTGTCAGTAGGATACAGTACTATTTCTAATTGAAGGATTAAATACAGTCACATTCTTATGGATGCATCAGGAGAAAATATTTCACCTTGTGGATAGTCAAAAATTCTAATACAGTGGACCCCCGCATAGCGAACTTAATCCGTGCAAGAGGGCTGGCTGTTATGTGAAATGTTCGCTATGCGAATGAATTTTCCCCATAAGAAATAATGGAAATAAAATTAATCCGTGCAAGACACCCAAAAGTATGAAAAAAAATTTTTTTTACCACAAAAAAATGTTAATTTTAGTACACACAAACTGAAAAAGGCATGCACAATTACATGACACTTACTTTTATTGAAGATCTGGTGATTTGTGGGTGGGGGGAGGGGAGAGAGTGTTAGTTTTTTAGAAGGGGAATCCCCTTCCTTTAGGACTTGAGGGCAAGTCCTTTTCTGGGGTTACTTCCTTCTTTTTTTAATGCCACTAGGACCGCTTCAGAGCATGGAACTTCTTTCGCACAACATACGCCCTAGTGGCCTGTACCCTCGTTCCTTTAGATTTGTCTAAAGGGGGGTTCACAACGTGTCTGAACAGCACCAGCAGGGCTGAAATAGCTGTGTGAGGGATTTTCATAAAAAAAGGGTTTGCACTTCAGCCTTTTTGACACTTTTCCCTTAATTTTTGAATAGGAAATTCCCTTCAATTTCTCTCTCCCCTCCTTTGAGCCATTTTCCCCCAGGTCGGGCCCTTTTCTCTTGAATTTGATCATCGCTCATCGTGGTTAGTTCTTCATTGTCCCCTCCACCAACTTTTCCCACTCCTCCCCACAACCCCAAACCCCAAGGCTTCCCCAATTCCACAATTGTTTCCCTAAACTGTATACTACTCCTTCGGGTTGCCAAAAACCCCTTCAAAATCCCTTTTGTCTACCATTCGGGCCACGTTTTTTCCCAAGCAGATTTTCAAGGTTCTCTTAGTCACTCCCCCCCAAGTTCCTAAAAGGGTTTCAAAATTTGGGGATATTAAAGTGACCTTCCAAAACTCTTTAGAGTCAATCGAGTGTCTGTGGTATTTTCAAAGCACTTTTGAAACGAGCTTTTGGTCGTTTTTTGAAGTTGGAAATGCCTCGGTCCATGGGCTTGCGGGAAAGGATGGTATTAGGGGCAAAACTTCCCTTAATAAAGTCATGTCCCAATAGTCGCTTGCCACGTCTGAGGTGACCGGGGGCATTGTCAAACACCGGGGGCATTTTAAAGGTCAATTTCTTTTCAGTTTGGGAAATTTTCCATTGGGGGAAAATGCGGTAAAACCAGTTTAAAAAAATTTCCCCAGTGACCCATGCCTTATGTTTGCCCCCCACAGCAAACACAATTATCCTTGGCTTCTTTTGCCTGAACGCTCTGGGAGTTTCAGAGTGATTCCAATAAAGGCTTAATTTGCAATCCCCACTAGCATTGGCACCATCAACAAAGTAACCCTGTCCTTTCTAGGTTTTATGTCCTGGGAGGCCTTTTCCTCCGAGTAATGTGGTCCTTTGGCATTTTTCTTCAGAACAGGCCTTTTCATCACAATTAAAAAACTTTTTCAGGGTTTCCCTCCTTCAGTTTCTATTCTCCCTTTAATTAAAGCAATATTTTTTCAGCCGCTTGTGGTCCGAACTGGCGCCTCACCATGCCGTATCACACTATGGACCCCACCTTTTTAAATCTCTCAACCCAACCCCTTTTCCCGGCCCTTTAAATTCACTCACTTTATCACTAGTTGCAGGGATTTTTTAATTAAATCTAGCAAACTTCCTAGCCTTTTTACATTTGATCGCTTGAAGACCTATCTCCGTAGCTGTTTTTTCTTTATCCACCCAATAAACTCTCACATCTTCCATCCTTGCGATTTTGTTTCGAAAACACATAAACCTTTGGGAACAACCTTCCTTTATTGCCGTTTTCTTTTCCCACAATAGAAGAGTGGTTTTATTTTGGTTTCTTGTACAACCTGACCGGTCGGTGAACGTACTCCCCTTTTATACTTATCAATGATCTCTTTCTTCATTTTAATGGGTATTCTTCCCCTTTGGGTGTACGGTTGGCACTAAAAAGCTTTCTTGGGGCCCATGGTCACTTATTTTCCAGAAACAGCACCGAAAACACTGTAATAATACGAAATATTCCGAGTGTATGCTTGAATGTTACCGCGGAGGCTGGCTGGTAAACAATGGCACGGGCGGCACATGTGAGGCTGGCTGAGGGCGCACATTGGACGCGTCTCGGACGAAGGCCGCTGAGCGGGTTTTTGTCCACTATGCGGGGCAAAATTTTAGCGAACAAAGCGTCCGCTATGCGGATTGTCCGCTATGCAAGGCGTCCGCTATGCGGGGGTCCACTGTAATCATTGTTACATATATTCAGGGGTAATTACACCTTTTGAATAATTTTTGTACAAAATTAAGGTTCACACAGCTATGACATAATAAGGTGTACTGTTTATTGTTAAAATATTCTTAATAACATGCTGCTTGCAGGACCGTTATGCCATTGGGCATACAATACCAAGTATGGATGAGTCCCAGGATGTGGAGCTGCTGGGAGGATACCAGAATGACACCCACACAGTGCTGAGGTTCTCTCGACCCTGGGTCACCTGTGACCCTGAGAAAGACCTCCAACTCTCAGTATGTCATCCACTCATTATCATGGTTTATTAAGGAATTGTTTGATCCCTCATTATGTATGTATTCCAAGAGGAAATAATGTGCTGGTTTGTTTTTATCAACGTGTGGGTATTAGTTTATTGTTAAGAGTTATTATCATCTTAGTAAGCATCATATAATTAATTTTAATGCTGATTCATTGAATCTTAATGTAGGATGACACAGTGAGAGTGATCTGGTCATATAATGATGATGATCCAACTGATGTGATGATGATGAAGAGGCATAAGCAGCGAGGAACAAAGTCTCTCTTTTTAAGGGAAGCTCAGTTTGCTGTACCATCCTTTAGTGATGATGTGAAGATGTGGGATGTTTTCTCTCCCAATGTAAGTCACTAAATAATTTCTCCTCAGCTTTGAATGTTAATAAACTTTAGAAGAATTTGACAGTAGTGTGGCAAATTTTTTTATGTTGCTTTTCTTTTTTATATGATATATCTGCATATCAAGGGGCTAGTAACCCCTTATCCTGTATAAATTACTAAATTTTATATGAGTAACTTTTGTTTTTTCTTTTTGGGCCACCCCACCTCAGTGGGATATGGCTGGTTTGATAAAAAAAAAAAAAATCTGTATATGTAATTTTTTTGCTTGAAGTTTCCTATTTGACAGGTAACTCTACCTGATGACCTAACAACACTATACTGGTGTAAGCTTTACAAGATTCCTCCGCTTCCTCGTAAGACTCATGTCATCGGGGTGAGTAGACTAACTTGGATTGTTATTGCATTACTTTTCTCTCCTCTTGCTTCTCTACCTTGATAAGAAAAGGCTGTTGGGGTAAAAAAATTAAATTTTAATATTTGTAGATGCATGTGTTAAATCTTTAATTGTTATGTTTTAGGTGGTTTGTGTATTATTTTGAAATGCTTGTGAACATATACCTAATAGTGTTCCAATTTGTGGGAAATGAAGTTTTAGAATTAGAAGTTGGCTGCCCAATTGTTCCAGTGATCGAGAACATTCGTCATGTTTAGCCTATTCTTGTTAGTTTGTTCCAGTGATCGAGGAGAAGAACCTCGAGCATGTTCACCACATTCTGCTGTATGAATGTCACCTGCCTGACAGTGATCATCACTATGAAAATGGATTGACCTTCAAGGCAGCCAGTGTTATGGGGCCAACATGCCCGTGTCTTGGAAGTATTGCACTAGTCCCATCGTTGCTTGGGCTGTTGGTGGGGAAGGTAAAGTTAATTGTCTAACACTGAAGAGTGTTTGTTGATATTTGTATGTGAACACAGTAGCATTAAACAAAATATATATTCTATATTTAATGGCAATATTGCACACAACATAAACACAAAATATATTCTTATGGTTATTGACCCTATAGGCATAATTATTAACATTGAATGGTTAATAATCCAGAAAAAATTCTAGAAAGCCAAGCAGTATGGCATGTTTCACTTGAGGTTCTTCAATTGTCTCCCTCAGGATGTGATCCACAAGTTGACTCATACCCAGGTGAACTGGGGAGGCAGGTGTGAAAAGTCTTACCCATTCTTCATGCTATGTTCACACAACTGCCAGCAGACTAACACTGGTTCATTCTACAGGAGAGATGTACCCAGATCATGCAGGCCTCCCACTGGGGGAGGAGCATGGTGGGCCACTTACTTCCTCATGGAGACTCATTATGATAATCCTAACCTTAGACCAGGTGAGAATTTGTAATAACGTGAAATTAGGTGCAAACTTATAACACATTTTTATTGCAATCAAGTGATATTAATGGCGATTGAATAAGTAATTAAGCTCTAAACCAGGAGTTATTCTATCTACCTTAACTTAGTCTTAGTAAGCTCTACCACCTCATAGGAGTTACTTCCATCAACCTTTAATGCCTATGCCAGCTTCAGAGTCACTGACTTCTTTCGCACAATATGTCCTATGGCCTACCTCTCTAGCCTATTTGATTGTTAATTTAACACAGTGTCATTGTAACCAAACTAGCATGCTTCAAAGCTTGTTGACGGGAAGCATTTATCAAACAGAGTTTTTACATTCAACCATTTGCACATTTCCTTAATTTTGAATAGGAATTACCTTCAATTTCCCCCCCTCTTAAGCAGTTTTTGCCGGTTGGAATCTGGTTACTGAATTGATCTCAGAATACATGCTGTTTAAGTGTTCCTCCACCATTTCTCTTTACGACATCCTCCCAACTACTCAACCCAAGACTTGCCAGCAATTTCGACAATTGTTCAACTGGTATATTTTTCGTCCCTCGGGTTAGCCTAAAGCCCGTTCAAAATTTTAACTTTCTGGCCAATTTCTTCCAAGCAGATTATCTATTTTATTTGCACCCCAACCTACCTCATATTTAAACAATTAGGATATTAATGATCCTTCCAAAACTCTTTTAAGTCAATCGAGTGTGCTGTGGTCACTTCAAAGCCTTTTGAACCAGTTTTCCTATGTTTTACCATGACCTGGCTGTCTGGGCTCTGCAGGAGTGATGTAATAGGAGGCAAAAACTTCACCTTAATGAAGCTCATGTCCCCATAAAGTCGCTCTGCCACGTCTGTAGGATGACCAGGGGCATTGTCTAACCCCCAGGAGGCACTTAAGGTCTAATTTCTTTTCAGTTAGGTAATCTTTCACATTGGGGGCAAATGCATGGTGTAACCAGTTATAAAAAAATTTTCCCTAGTGACCCATGCCTTACTTTTTGCCCTCCACAGAAACCACAAATTATCCTTGAGGACATTCTTTTGCCTGAACGCTCTGGGAGTTTCAGAGTGATACACTAATAAAGGCTTAACTTTGCAATCACCACTGCATTGGCACACATCAACAAAGTAAGCCTGTCTTTCATAGGCTTATGTCCTGGAGTGCCTTTTCCTCCTGAGTAATGTAGGTCCTGCTTGGCTTTTTTCTTCCAGAACAGGCCTGTTTCAATCACAATTAAAACACTTGTTCAGGTTCCAGTCCTTCAGTTTCTAGTTACTCCTTGAATTCATGCACATTTTTTTTTCAGCCGCTTTGTGGTCCGAACTGGCAGCCTCACCATGCCGTATCACACTATGGATGCCACTACGCTTCTTAAATCTCTCAAACCAACCTTTCCTGGCCTTAAATTCACTCACATCATCACTAGTTGCAGGCTTTTTTTTTAATTAAATCGTCATGAAAACTTCCTAGCCTTTTTCACATTGATCGTTTGAGAGACGCTATCTCCTGCTAGCTGTTTTTCATTTATCCACACCAATAAGAGTCTCTCAACATTTTCCATCACTTGCGATCTTTTTTTTCGAAACACAGTTAAACCTTTGGCAACAACAGCTTCCTTGATTGCCGTTTTCTTGCCCACAATAGAAGAGATGGTTGATTTTGGTTTCTTGTACAACCTACCAGGTCGGTGATACGTACTCCCCTTTCAAAACTTATCAATGATCTCTTTCTTCATTTCAATGGGTATTCTTAACCCTTTGAGGTGTACGTTGGCACTAGAAGCTTTCTTGGGCCCATGGTCCACTTATTTTTTCCCGAAACAGCACCGAAAACACTGTAATAATACGAAATATTCCGAGTGTATGCTTTAAGTTACCGCGGAGGCTGGCTGGTAAACAATGGCAAGGGCCCGGAACAAAAAGTGGGGGCTGGCTGAGGGCGCACATTGGACGCGTCTCGGAGAAGGCCGCTGAGCGGGTTTTTGTCCACTATGCGGGGCAAAATTTTAGCGAACAAAGCGTCCGCTATGCGGATTGTCCGCTATGCAAGGCGTCCGCTATGCGGGGGTCCACTGTAATCATTGTTACATATATTCAGGGGTAATTACACCTTTTGAATAATTTTTGTACAAAATTAAGGTTCACACAGCTATGACATAATAAGGTGTACTGTTTATTGTTAAAATATTCTTAATAACATGCTGCTTGGGAGGACCGTTATGCCATTGGGCATACAATACCAAGTATGGATGAGTCCCAGATGTGGAGCTGCTGGGAGGATACCAAATGACCACCCACACAGTGCTGAGGTTCTCTCGACCCTGGTCACCTGTGACCCTAGAAAGCCTCCAACTCTCAGTATGTCATCCACTCATTATCATGGTTTATTAAGGAATTGTTTGATCCCTCATTATGTATGTATTCCAGAGGAAATAATGTGCTGGGTTTTTTTTATCAACGTGTGGGTATTAGTTTATTGTTAAGAGTTATTATCATCTTAGTAAGCATCATATAATTAATTTTAATGCTGATTCATTGAATCTAATGTAGGATGACACAGTGAGAGTGATCTGGTCATAAAATGATGATGATCCCAAATGATGTGATGATGAGAAGAGGCATAAGCAGCGAGGAACAAAGTCTCTCTTTTTAAGGGAAGCTCAGTTTGCTGTACCATCCTTTTAGTGAAAGATGTGAAGATGTGGGGTGTTTTCTCTCCCAATGTAAGTCACTAAATAATTTCTCCTCAGCTTTGAATGTTAATAAACTTTAGAAGAATTTGACAGTAGTGTGGCAAATTTTTTTATGTTGCTTTTCTTTTTTATATGATATATCTGCATATCAAGGGCTAGTAACCCCTTATCCTGTATAAATTACTAAATTTTATATGAGTAACTTTTGTTTTTTCTTTTTGGGCCACCCCACCTCAGTGGGATATGGCTGGTTTGATAAAAAAAAAAAAAATCTGTATATGTAATTTTTTTGCTTGAAGTTTCCTATTTGACAGGTAACTCTACCTGATGACCTAACAACACTATACTGGTGTAAGCTTTACAAGATTCCTCCGCTTCCTCGTAAGACTCATGTCATCGGGGTGAGTAGACTAACTTGGATTGTTATTGCATTACTTTTCTCTCCTCTTGCTTCTCTACCTTGATAAGAAAAGGCTGTTGGGGTAAAAAAATTAAATTTTAATATTTGTAGATGCATGTGTTAAATCTTTAATTGTTATGTTTTAGGTGGTTTGTGTATTATTTTGAAATGCTTGTGAACATATACCTAATAGTGTTCCAATTTGTGGGAAATGAAGTTTTAGAATTAGAAGTTGGCTGCCCAATTGTTCCAGTGATCGAGAACATTCGTCATGTTTAGCCTATTCTTGTTAGTTTGTTCCAGTGATCGAGGAGAAGAACCTCGAGCATGTTCACCACATTCTGCTGTATGAATGTCACCTGCCTGACAGTGATCATCACTATGAAAAATGGATTGACCTTCAAGGCAGCCAGTGTTATGGGGCCAACATGCCCGTGTCTTGGAAGTATTGCACTAGTCCCATCGTTGCTTGGGCTGTTGGTGGGGAAGGTAAAGTTAATTGTCTAACACTGAAGAGTGTTTGTTGATATTTGTATGTGAACACAGTAGCATTAAACAAAATATATAATTCTATATTTAATGGCAATATTGCACACAACATAAACACAAAATATATTCTTATGGTTATTGACCCTATAGGCATAATTATTAACATTGAATGGTTAATAATCCAGAAAAAATTCTAGAAAGCCAAGCAGTATGGCATGTTTCACTTGAGGTTCTTCAATTGTCTCCCTCAGGATGTGATCCACAAGTTGACTCATACCCAGGTGAACTGGGGAGGCAGGTGTGAAAAGTCTTACCCATTCTTCATGCTATGTTCACACAACTGCCAGCAGACTAACACTGGTTCATTCTACAGGAGAGATGTACCCAGATCATGCAGGCCTCCCACTGGGGGAGGAGCATGGTGGTGCCACTTACTTCCTCATGGAGACTCATTATGATAATCCTAACCTTAGACCAGGTGAGAATAAGTATTAGTGAAGTTAGGCAAACTTTTTATAATCTCAGTTTTTAATTTTCAATAATGAACCCCATCATTAATCATTAATATATTTACATTAAGCTCTAAATCCAAGTGAGTTATTCTATGCTACCTTAATCTTAGTCTTTATAAGACTCTACCACCTCAAAGGAAGTTCCTTTGATCAAACCTGAATGCCTCCCATTTCCTCAGGTTCTGTATAGAATTCTACTGTATATTATTCACAAATTAATGCTTGCTTTATGCAGTAACTCTCACTAAGGCCAGTTGAAGTTGTTATATTATAACACAAGAGACAAATAAACCCAGAGAGTTCTATCATGTTCACAAATATTATTCACAGCAACACCTAATCCCTTGAGTTTTATATATACATTTACATAGTTATTATGTAACTTATTATGGAAGTTGACGAGCTGTTGGAATGTGACCAAGTAATATTTTGTGAAGGGATTTAGGAAAACTGGTTAGCTGGACTTGAGTCCAGGAAGTACAATGCCTGCACTCTAAAAGAGGGGTTTGGGATATTTGCTGTTTAGAGGGACATCTAAACTGTCTTATCTGTGCACCTCTGGCAAGACAGTGATAGTGAGAATGATGGTGAAAGTGTTTATTTTTCAGGTCACCCTGCCTTGGCAGGAGATGGCCAGTGTGTTAAAAAAATATATATTTCTTAGTTTATATTTGCCATTACTAAATTATTACTATTTTATTTTGCCACATATTCAGAAAAGTGCAGTATTTTTTATACCTTAGGTGTTACTGATGCTTCTGGCATACGCATCTTCTATACTGAGCGTCTGCGTAAGTTTGATGCCGGGATCTTGATGCTGGGCCATGAGGTCACCCCATTGCACATTATTCCACCCAGTCAAAAGTGGCTTTCTGTTGGTCTCTGCCATGGTTTGTGTACACAGAAGGTGCGTTTATTGTTTCTTTTGAATGGTAAAACAGTGGGAGTCTAGAGGCATCCTAATAGCTTCATCCTCGAGGTGAAGGGGGGGTCAGTAAGACAAAGTTATAAAATGCTATTATAAAATAATAATAATAATAATAATAATAATAAATTAATTATTTATTATATTATATTATTATTATATTATTATTATTATTATTATAATTATTATTATTATTATTATTATTATTATTAATTATTATTATTATTTATTAATTATTATTATTATTATTATTATTATTATTACTTGAAGAGCAGATGAAATAAAAAACAATCCTGAAATAAAGTGATGATGATGTCTCTTTATTTGTGCCGATCTTTGAAAACGATGGTGAAGGTGTCACTTGTTACTAATTATGCTAATACACATTTTATTATGCTAATACATACTGTATTATGCTAATGCATGCTGTATAATGCTAATACACATTTTCTTCACTCTTGCAACTTTATTAAGTGTACAAAATGTTTGAGTTTTTACGTAGAAGATGGAGTGATTGTATGTATTATAATTTTCATAGTAGTATTTGCTTGACATGTTTCAAATTCAAATTCAAATTTTCACATCTCTTGTTGTGTACAAAGATAATGTAGTTTACATTTTGATAATTAATGTACCAGTAAATAATGTGCTCTTTATTTTTTGTATCTATTCATAAACAAATATTCTTGCACAGTAACCATGTTATTAATGCCACAAAATATTTTTGAATGTTTTTTTTTTTTTTTTTCAACAAGTCGGTCGTCTCCCACAAACTTTCTGAAAGATCAATTATCAATTATGTCATCCCAGTATTCAAGTCTTATTATTTCAATGTCATTTTCAAATTAATTGCATCTTTTTTCAGTAAACTGTAGCCATGATCTGTGAGAAGTAGAGTTGTCCTAGCAGTGGTTGGAGGTATGGGGTAAAAGAGGTTTTGAATGCTTGGGGCTTGAACATCCAACAGGCTAGTGTGAGCACATCTAGTCAGAGCAAGTGGAGACAAGTGATTTTTGTGACTTGACATACTGTTGGAGTGTGAGCAAGGTAACATTTAAAAAACGATTTAGGGGGTATTTGTTAGCTGGACTTAAGAGTAAAGGAGGTGGGAAGTACAGTATCTGCACTCTGAAGGAGAGGAGAGGATGTTGCAGTTCAAGGGTCATCTGAACTGTGATGCCAGCACTCTTCTGGCAAAGCAGTGATTAAATGAATGATGGTGAAGGTATTTCCTCTTTTTGTGGGTCACCCTACCTTGGTAGGAGACAGCAGATGTGTTAAAAAATTCTATACACAACACATTCTAAATATTTATTATACTATGAATTATCCACTTATAATTACATAAATCGGGATGTTCAGATAAGTAAACACATTGGTATAATGACACAGAAAACACACATTTGCACTGCAGGAGTTGCCAGCTGAAGGAGTTCAGGTGTTCCAGGGTGTCCTTCACTCACACCTGTTGGGTCGTGCTATCTCTCTCCGACACATCCGTGATGGCCACGAGCTTCCTATAATTTTGAAGGGTGAGGTTGGGTGCTCCCTTCATTATTCATTTGATGCTTGTATACAATTTTTAATGTGGGAAGAGTTTCAAGAGGTCTTGTATATGTTATACAGTAAGTTTGATAAATTTTAGTTTGATATATGTACCACTCTAATTGTTTCTCCACAGATATGACTTACGACTTCAATTACCAGCAGACGAGAATATTAAAAGAGGAAGTGACCATCTTACCTGGAGACACTCTTATCACTGAGTGTAACTACGACTCGACCCGTCGTAAGCAGACCACCTTCGTGAGTCTCATGGCTTGTAATGTAGTGCTGAGCACAGTGGAGGCAACATGAGGCTTGTTTTAAAGTGTGCTGACAAATACAGTAGTCCCCCATGTCCACAGGGAATACACTCCATGACCTACTGTGGATACCTGAAACTATGGATAGTACCGAACCCTATATATAAGTCATTTTTCCTTTACATACGTATCTATGATAAAGTTTAATTGATAAATTCAGCAAAATAAATCTATAATTAGCATTTTTTCACTGATGGGAAACATTTCACGGCTTCTTTTAGGCTTCTTTTGCACTTTGGGGCCATTATTACGCAAAACTAAGGGTAACTTTTGGGCCACATTAAACCGTGGATAACTGAAACCGCAGATAGTGAATCAGTGGATACAGGAGTCCTAGTGTATGTACTAACAAATACCTGATTACGATGTTGTTCCAGGGTGGGATTGGTACAGAGGAAGAGATGTGTCTGGCTTTCATGACTTATTACCCTCGTGTCAATCTCTCAGTCTGCACCTCCACCCCACCCATGGAGACCATCTTTGAGACTCTTGGAATACAAGATATTTATAATAAGGAAAAGATGTAAGTCAGATACCTTTTTCAATATATACTTTATGTCCATATTATAGATGTTGCAAATTTGTCAGGTTTTGAGAAGACTTATAGTCGAGTATGGATAGAAATCATGTCTGTCTTGCTCTCAGCAGATGGAAGATCGAGCCTCCACCACGTCTTGCACTGAATGACCCACATGGGTTTAGTGCTTAGCCTAAATTTTCTTTTTACAACTTCTTGAAAATGTATTTTGAAATATTTCCTCTATAGAAGAATTTTCGGCTACAAAATTAATGTAAGTGTTTGAATTCAGTAATAATTTTCACTTGTATCACTTAATTCTATATACTAGCTTAAACGTAAGTATTGTAGCTTCTGCCCATGTTCGTTACATCCAAATATTTGTGTTTGTTCTCTATAACCAAATGCTTTTATACTTCTTAGAGTAACTGCCTCATTGTTGCCAGTAAAAGTTCTTTCATTATTCCATATACACGCAAGTTCTTTCATTGTTCTTATACAACCAAATGTTTTCATTCTTCTTTATACACAATGTTATTCAGTGTTCCAATGCAGTGACTATTTTTTTATGTTATTTATTATAATATCGTAGCAACTTTACATAAGGCGTTAAAATGCATATTTACCTAAAATGCTACATAAACACTTCAAAATGCTAATGTTTGTGAACTCACGAGACCACAGTAAAAATTCACTTTATCGTTTGTTTGTTGCTGTCTCTCTCTCTCAATAGTAAAACAAAAATAAAAATAAAGTTAATGAAATATTATTCTTATATAATCCTGATATAATTTTTATTTTTTTTTTTTCAGAGGAAGGATTTTACAAGGCAGGTAAGTTGTTAATGTTTTGTGTTGTGTGTTCATGTCTTATTTTTTTTGTCAAGGTTTTTATGAAGGTATTTATGAAACAATGCTTCTGCATTCTGCCATTTTTTAATATTTATCTGTATTCTATGAAGTTATATAGCTGAAATTTTTTAATGTACTATATAGTATAATTTAGCATATAATTAATATAAATTTCAACAAATTGTGAGTTGTGATTAGCTATGTCCAATATTTCACTGGGGGACTAGATTTTCCTTTTGCCAGCATTGCATACATGTGACTGTGGTCTTCCTGCAGGCTGGAAGTCAACGAGGAGGATGAGACAGAGTTGGCCAGTGCTCTGCGGAATGGCAGCGCATCTTCAGAAGTGACGGAAGTCCTGTTGTCTCATATGTTACGAGCAGTGGTCGTTAAGGCTCCTGAAAGTAAGAAGAGTATATATGTATCCATGTGTGTGACATGACTGATATATATAATAGTATGACTTAGAGTTAGTTTGCATGTTGAATTGCAATTAACATATTTGTAATTACACAAGAGGCTGCAGTCTAAACTGCACCCACAACACAATTAGTGTTGTGGTTGAGATGTGCTGGTAGTCCTGTATGAGTGGTAGTGATGATTGATAGTCTTGTATGAGTGGTGGTGGTGGTGACTGGTAGTCCTGTATGGGTGGTAGTGGTGATTGATAGTCTTGTATGAGTGGTGGTGGTGGTGCTGAGTCCCTTTTGTTGTGATTGATAGTCCTGTATGAGTGGTAGTGATGATTGATAGTCTTGTATGAGTGGTGGTGGTGGTGACTGGTAGTCCTGTATGAGTGGTAGTGGTGATTGATAGTCTTGTATGAGTGGTGGTGGTGGCGTGGTGACTGGTAGTCCTGTATGAGTGGTATGTTTTGGGTGATTGATAGTCTTGTATGAGTGGTGGGTGTGGTGGTGGTGGTGACTGGTAGTCCTGTATGAGTGGTAGTGGTGGTTGATAGTCTTGTATGAGTGGTGGTGGTGACTGGTAGTCCTGTATGAGAGGGTAGTGGTGATTGATAGTCTTGTTATGAGTGGTGGTGGTGGTGACTGGTAGTCCTGTATGAGTGGTAGTGGTGGTTGATAGTCTTGTATGAGTGGTGGTGGTGGTGACTGGTAGTCCTGTATGAGTTGGTAGTGGTGGTTGATAGTCTTGTATGAGTGGTGGTGGTGGTGACTGGTAGTCCTGTATGAGTGGTAGTGGTGATTGATAGTCTTGTATGAGTGGTGGTGGTGGTGACTGGTAGTCCTGTATGAGTGGGTAGTGGTGTTGATAGTCTTGTATGAGTGGTGGTGGGGTGACTGGTAGTCCTGTATGAGTGGTAGTGGTGGTTGATAGTCTTGTATGAGTGGTGGTGGTGGTGACTGGTAGTCCTGTATGAGTGGTAGTGGTGGTTGATAGTCTTGTATGAGTGGTGGTGGTGGTGACTGGTAGTCCTGTATGAGTGGTAGTGGTGGTTGATAGTCTTGTATGAGTGGTGGTGGTGGTGACTGGTAGTCCTGTATGAGTGGTAGTGGTGGTTGATAGTCTTGTATGAGTGGTGGTGGTGGTGACTGGTAGTCCTGTGTGAGTGGTGGCATTTATTGCTACTTTAATTTCCACAATTAACAGAATACTGAAGCCCAGTCTCTGGAGCATTAAATGCCTCCATAATCTTTTTACTGCTGCCCACAGAATGGGTATTTTGTTAGTTTTAAGTCTCATGAATCTTTCAGAGTTTCTCAACACATCCCTTTATAAAATTTTGCTAAAGAAAACAACATGGGAAGAGAGCCAGGCAGCGGAATTACTGCAGGAGAAGGTTGTGTTTGGAAGACACTCCACAAGTTGTCGAACTAGAGAAGATGCAAGAGTCTTGGAGGTGAGTGCCTTGGTCTTCTAGTAGTTTGAGTTAAAGAATCAGTAGTATTTTGGTCACTGGCATGTGGCATGATGGCTAAAGCTCTCACTTCACATGGTGAGGGGTCCAGGTTCAATTCCCGGCGAGGGTAGAAACATTGGGCATGCTTCCTTACACCGGTTGTCTATGTTCACCCATCAGTAAAATGGGTACCTGGGTGTTAGTCGACTGGTGTGGGTTGCATCCTGGGGAAAAACTGACCCATTTTGCGAGAAATGTTCTGCATAACAAGTCACTGATGTCACCTTTGGTCTGTATACCTTGTACATGAACTTGTAGAAATAAGGATATTATTATTATTATTATTATTATTATTATTATTATTTTATTTTTTTTTTGTGCAGTATACAATTAGTGCCCAAAATGCACATACATTCTAGTGGCTTTCTTTGTGCTATACAATTTTTTTTTACTTGTAAACTACACTTTGCATACTTCACATACAAATAAAATATGTTTATGTTTATGTTTAATGTGTTTACATGTACTAATAAAGTACATGTATTGTTAGGCACAAACAAAAGTCACTAACATGCATTGCACTTCAGGCCACATTTATTTAATACATATACAGTATTAATTTTTATGACTTGGCATACTGTTGGAGTGTGAGCAAAGTAGTTAACTCTAATAAAGGAATTTGGATGCTATTAACATTGTGGCATGAGCACACGCTAGGCATTATTTCTTCTTTCTTCTTTCAACAACCGGTCGTATCCCAAGGCGGGGTGGCCCAAAAAGAAAAACAAAAGTTTCTCTTTAAATTTAGTAATTTATACAGGAAAAGGGGTCACTAGCCCCTTGCTCCCGGCATTTTAGTTGCCTCTTACAACACACATGGCTTACAGAGGAAGAATTCTGTTCCACTTCCCCATGGAGATAAGAGGAAATAAACAAGAACAAGAACTAGAAAGAAAATAGAATACCCAGAGGGGTTTATATATATATATATGCTTGTACATGTATGTGTAGTGTGACCTAAGTGTAAGTAGAAGTAGCAAGACGTACCTGAAATCTTGCATGTTCATGAGACAGAAAAAAGGACACCAGCAATCCTACCATCATGTAAAACAATTACAGGCTTTCGTTTTACACTTACTTGGCAGGACGGTAGTACCTCCCTGGGTGGTTGCTGTCTACCAACCTACTACCTAGGTAGGCATTATTTATCCGGCATTAATTTCCAATACGTGTGTTTGACTAATGATCTGTCTCCCCACCAGCAACCACAAGCGGTGTCATATCCTCGTTTCTCCGCCCTGAAGTCCCCTGTTGAGCAGTGTGGTGCCAGGAAGCAAGGTGGGTCTTCCTCCATATTCACTCTCCTGTGTAAAGTTGAAAGGTAAGTCAAAATTGTTTATTAAGGGTTCACACACACCTGATGATAATAAAGCTTACATGTTCATTGGTATTTTAATATCAAGTGTTATTCATGAAGAATAAGAGTCACAGCACTGTAGCTGGAACAATTCGTGACTAACCCACACTGTAGCTGGAACATTTCACAACTAACCCACAGTACCTCAGCTGGAACACTTCATGACTTACCCACAGTACTATACCTGGAACACTTCCTGCATAAGCCACAACACCATTGCTGGAGCAATTCAAAACTAACACACAAATCTGTGGCTGGAACAATTCACAATTAACAGTTCAGAGAGAGGACTTCAGACAACACTATGATCCGACCTGGACCAACATCAGGTCACAACTTGGTGATGGTCTGGCAACCACCAAAACATCATCTGAACTGTACCTTAGTTACAGAATGTTATTTGTAAAAAGAGTACAGTGGACCCCCGGTTTATGATATTATTTCATTCCACAAGTATGTTCAGGTGCTATTACTGAACGAATTTGTTCCCATAAGGAATATTGTGAATTAGATTAGTCCATTTCAGACCCCCAAACATACACCTACAAACGCACTTGCGTAAATACACTTACATAATTGGTCGCATTGGGAGCTGATCGTAAAGCGGGGGTCCACTGTATATAGTGTGATTTTGTGAATACAATTGAGTAAGTGCATGCATAATTGAATAGTATTTACTATGAAGGTTAGGTTAGGTAAGATTTGTCAGGAAACAGCACGAGTATTTCTTGATGTAGGTCTCAGTCATGTGATGACCTGTCACTGGAGGTTTTGGTCATCTTTCCAAGGCCTACCTTTGGCTTACCGGTCCACCCCTTTAAAAATTATGGTTTTGATTATAACCATTTTGAAATTCTATGAAGATCTTGCCATGTAATATTCAGTTGTTGATGTACTTTTTTAATCACATTTACTAAAAAATGCACTATATAAAGAAGTTTTATGAGACTGCATACTGTATTTTAGTTTAGAAACAAAAGCCTTTATGTATCTGGAGAGATTCAAATTCAAATTTTTATTTCCTTTTATGCGGCACACAGATAATGTAGTTTACCTGTAATAAAACATTGTTAGGCATAGAATAAAGACACTAATATGCAATGTAATTTCTGGCAAACTAATCTTAATGTTTATTGACTACTTCAAAATTAGACATAGACTATTAAGTAATAAAAAATAATAATAATAATAATATCTTTATTTCTGCAAGTACATGCCCAAAATGCTCTGCATAACAAGTTTTCTGCATGCACAACCAAATGTCACCCATCTGAACAAACATTGTATCATGTGGAAATAAATCCTTGACTTCGATTTTGAAATGCAATTAACCCTTAAACGGTCCAAACGTATATATACGTTTTTTCAACATCTGAAAGTATGTAAAAAAATTTAGATCTTCTTTTTTTGTTTTACATTTGAAAACGTGTAAAAAAAACTTTTATCTTCATTTTTTTTTGTTATATTTGAAAATATGTAAAAAAACAAGTAGATCTACTTCTGTAGCACTACGAATTTGAACGTTGATTTGTTTGGACCGTTTAAGGGTTAAAAGCTGATATAATCAGTAAGACTGAGTGTGAGTTTGGTGACCTCCACAGTTCAAGACCAGCAAGTGAATGACAACAATAGACTTCCACTCGTGAAATTTTTACATCGGGTGGTGATGGAAGAGGCAGACAAGTATGTAATGTTGTGGACACCGAGGAAGGATGATATTATCATCGAGGTTCAGGTTAGTATTGGGGAAAGTGTTGTATGGAGATGTAGAATGTAAGGGTAGTAAGCCCCAGGCACCCAGACTATGCCATCTTTCCTCATCTTGCAAAACTTACAAGTTTCTGTTGTATTCATGTAGGCAGCTGGGCACTGCCAGTGGGAATCCTGGGTTAGGAGGAGTACTTCACCTTATCAACATGTAACCTAAAGTTGCTAAGGTACTTCAGCTATACTGCACTGTGTGTTCTTCACCAAGACTCCACATACTGTGGGTGAGATACACAGTGCAGTGTAATACATATGTCAACAGTTCAAACTTTATAATAATAATAATAATAATTCTCCATGGGGAAGTGGAACAGAATTCTTCCTCCGTAGGCCATGCGTGTTGTAAGAGGCCACTAAAATGCCGGGAGCAAGGGGCTAGTAACCCCTTCTCCCGTATAAATTACTAAATTTAAGAGAAACTTTCATTTTTCTTTTTGGTCCACCCTGCCTTGGTGGGATACGGCCGGTGTGTTGAAAGAAAAGAAAGAATAATAATAATAATAATAATAACACATGATGTTTCACCTACATGAGGGTTTATCAAGTACTGGATTATAATGTGTATGTAATGATAAGTTGCATGGGGCTTCACTGACTATTGGAAGAGGTGCTTTTGGTTCTTAGGAAGTGCACTGTTCATAGCTGAAGATGTAACTGCAGTATGTGAAATTGACCTATTCTTGCTAACAAGGTTACTCGTTGTGCAGGTAGTGACAACAGGGTACGTGGGTCTAGGCTTCTCTCCCATCGGCACAATGAAAGGCTCTGATATCATGCTGGGCTGGGTGGATGATGATGGAAAGGTCTACCTGGAAGTGAGTGTTGTCATGGCTATTGTTTCTGCATGTTTGTGTTGTAAATCTACTTTTCCTCATGGGATGCAATCAGATTAATTTATGGATAGTTAATGACTTTATTTTGATAGCAGTAAGCAAAGTATTGGTTACTCACAGGAGACACATTGAAAAAACAACAAAATTTTGTTACTCTCAAACAATGAGTGTCAGGGGCCCAAGACTGTTCAACTGCCTCCTAGCATACATAAGGGGGGACTACCAATAAAACCCTGGCTGTCTTCAAGAGGGAGCTGGACAGGCACCTAAAGTCAGTACTTGACCAGCCAGGCTGGGGCTCATATGTCAGTTTGTGTGTGGCCAGCAGTAACAGCCTGGTTGATCAGGCCCTGATCCATCACAAGGTCTTGTCATGGACAGGACCGTGGGGGCACTGACCCTCGGAAAACCCTCCAGGTATACTGCAGGTAAGGGGTTATTTCCGATTCATAGTTAAAACAGAATTTAAAAATACACGTTCTATACTGGAACAATGTATACACTTAAGAAATTAGTGGTTGTCAAGCTTGGCCCTTCAAAGAGCTGCCTTGATGTAAGGAGTTGGGGGTACCCTCTCCCATCATTGACAGAGCCTGATTATTTCTCATTTCTAATGCTCTGTATGACCCGATGGAAATAAATGGTATAAAATACCGACACAATGGAAATATAAACACATATGCAGTATAATGTGATCCTTTATTGACAACGTTTTGCCCACACAGTAGGCTTTTTCAAGTCACAAACAGATCTACCTGGGGTGGAAGGTACACGAGTATTTATAGTCAGGTTGAGAATGCTGGGTCAGGTGGAGAATGCTGCATGCGATGATCTACCGAGTGGGGTTATAGAGTCTAAAATCTTGGGTAGCTTGGAAGAGAGATTGGATAAGTATATGAGTAGACCTTCCGCAGTGTTCCTCCATTCCTATGTTCTTATGTGGGATAGCGATGAAGAAGTTTCTTGGCAAGTGGTTCATCTATGTTATAGAAGCCGTTGTTCTGGTTGAAGTTGTTGGATATAGAGATAAGCAATGATTCCAGGATTCTTCGGTATTGAGTGTTGTCTTCTCTGGCAATAAGTCTTGAGTTTCTGTAGTTGATTAAATGGTTTTGTGAATTATGGTGTTGTACAGGTTGCCAAGAAACTTCTTAATCGCTATCCCACATAAGAACATAGGAATGGAGGAACACTGCAGAAGGTCTACTCATATACTTATCCAATCTCTCTTCCAAGCTACCCAAGATTTTAGACTCTATAACCCCACTCGGTAGCTCATCAGATGCAGCATTCTCCACCTGACCCAGCATTCTCAACTTGACTATAAATACTCACCTACTTCCACCCCAGGTAGATCTGTTTGTGACTTGAAAAAGCCCACTGTGTGGGTGAAACATTGTCAATAAAGGATCACCTTACACTGCATATGTGTTTACATTTCCTCTGTATGACCCCTTATGGATTGAACACTTTTCTAAAAATATATATCATTTGGAGGAGCATTAACTGTGACTTAGAGTGTATATATAGTGTACTTATAGCTTAAAAGAAGGGCAGCAGTTATTAATATGTAACTTCTGTACTTGTTTTGAAATCTGTGTGCTACATTTTTCCAGGACCGGTATGCCAGCGGGTACTCGGTACCGATGATAGACAACTCTCAGGATGTGGAGCTGCTGGGAGGATACCAGAATGACACCCACACAGTGCTGAGGTTCTCCCGTCCCTGGGTCACCTGTGAACCTAAGACAGATATGCAACTCTCAGTAAGTTATTCACCCAGGTATCAAAGACAATGCCTAGTTGTCAGTTAGTCACTCATGGATCAAAGACATGCTCACACACTCATGAATCAAAGACAGATGTGCTCAGCTTTTGCCAAGCTACTCATGCATTCATGAATTTAAAACAAATGCCCATCACTTAGCTAGTTACATATTATCAGGTTTGTTAAGCATTATAATCTGTATCAAAATTTAAATACCTCTCATTTATCTGATTTCCCACAAAAACAACTGATCATTTTGGTGTTATGTGTTTTAATCACAAAGGAAATCTGGCACTGTATTAATTTTCTTTCAACTTATGTTGGAATTAGTTTGTGCTTAAAGGCTGTATATTAATGAATCAATCCTCAGCAGAACAACACCATAAGAATGATCTGGTCCTATGACAAGGAAGACCCAACTGATGTGACATCACCGAGATATCATGACCAGCGAGGGACAGTATCACTCCGCTTGAAGGCTCCTCCGTTGATGCAGCCTCTCACTGACGATGTGAAGATGTGGGACGTCATCTCTCCCAACGTTAGTAACGGTTTAAATACAATATATGTATTATCAAGGTAACATATTACTGTACTCCATTTAAAGATTCATGCAAAAATATACACACATGGAAGAACATGCAAACACATAGAAGACTAGTCCCAGAGCTAAAGGGTATGAGCTGTGAGGAGAGACTAAAGAAGTCTAACCTTATTATATTAGAAAACAAATATCAGGGGTTATACGAAGACAACATACAAAATACTTGGAGGAATTGATAGGATGGACAGGAGCAGGCTGTTTGAGATGGGTAAACAGTACATGAGGGCACAGCTGGAAGTTAAAAAATGCAGATATATCACAGGGATGTGAGGACATATTTCTTCACCCTCAGAGTGGTTAGGAATTGTACCAGCCTGGACAGGGAAGTGGGAGAAGCAGAATCCATACATATCTTTAAGAAGAGGTACAGTAGGGCTCATGCAGTCAGGTGAGAGAATCCAGCAGTAGCCAGTGGAGAGGTGGAGCCAGGAGTTGAGATTCAACCCCTGCAACCACATATAGCTATGTGAGTATATATGTTCACACACACACACACACACACACACTACACATACACACACATACACATACAGAATGTTTCAGATATGGGACACAGCAACAAGGGGTCATAACTGGAAGTTGAAAACTCAGATGAGTCACAGGGATGGTAGGTAGTATTTTTTTAGTCATAGAGTTGTCAAGAAGTGGAACAATCTTGAGAGTGATGTAGTGGAGGCAGGATCCATATATAGCTTTAAGAAGAGATACGATAAAGCTCATGGAGCAGGGAGTGGACCTAGTAGCAACCAGCAAAGAGGCAGGGTCAGGAGCTGTAAGGAGAGAGAGATTCTGCCACCAAAGTGGCTAGTTTATTGTGCACCCCATATCCATCCTGTGGACGGTAGCGCAAGAGTATATGGATACACAAAAGGCCTAGGAACTAGGCCCCAAAAGGGTTAATAGGTGTACATATGGGTTTATAGCTACATATCTACAGTTCACTTATCTGTTATAAGCAAATATAGGAAATTTGCTTAGTATATCTGGTATCTTATTTTCATTAATAAGATATCTTGACATGTCACATAGGTTATTATACTGTCTGTTTCTGTATTCCTCAATAAGTGGACAATTAGGCACATAGTGTTCAAGACAGTGACCATATGCCTGATCATATAATTTGCATTTAGTTTGATCATCATCTGTGTCTCCCAAACTGCCAGAAGTACTTGTAACCAAGCCTAAGCCTGGCCACTACAACATCAGTCAGTCTGTTCACAGTGCATGTTGCTCCATAAACATACTTATCTACGTTCATGTTATCATAGTGGGTTATAGATCTACTCAGGCTTCTAACTGCATTCCTATAACAATCATTTTCATTATTTATTTCTCTCTTAATATTATACCTAATGCTAGACACAGATATACCAAAGTTATATTCTATGTTCTTCTTCTGGGTACTCGTCTTGGCTAATATATCAACTTTATCATGAAGGAGTAACCCAGTGTGTGATGGGATCCATAGCAATTGTACATTAATCCATTTGTCCCTGATTTTTGAGTATCTATACCTGGCTTCTCCAATGAGCATGTTGTGGGAGGGAGCTGTGAATTGACCCCTGCAACCACAAATAGGCAAGTACACAAGTAGACCTGGACAAACTGCAAGAATAGTCAAGAAGGTGGTTAGTGGAGTTCAACCCAGGTGAGTGCAAGATCATGAAAGTTGGGGATGGAGAAAGATGACTAGACACAGAACACAGCTTGAAAGGTGAGAAACCACAAATATTGCTCAAGAAAGATGATCTTGAAGTGAACATCACACCCAACATATCACCACAGGTGCACATAAATCATATAATGTGCAGCATATGAAGGGGTTGCTAATCTCAGAACTGCCTTTGGAAACCTCAACAAAGAATCTTTTAGAATTCTTTACACTAGTTTAATGTATGTTTAGTCTGAAGTCTGGCCAAAATGCACTGCCTAACAATGTGCTCTTGAATGATATAATAATATATTATTTTTAACACTGCCTGTCTCCCACTAAGAAGAAGGGGGGTTACTAGCCCCCTGCTCTCAGCATTTTAGTCACCACCTACAACACGCATGGCTTATGGAAGAAGGATTCTTCTTTTCCCCATGGAGATAATATTATATAATGTAGTAATATACAATGCTGTGAAAAATAAACTTTACTGTTCTGTACCATACTATATACAGATAAAACATTGCACAGGTGAATCTACCAGATAATGTAACAACGCTGTACTGGTGTCAGCTTCACAAAATACCTCTCCTTCTCCGCAAGACTCATGTCATTGGGGTGAGTAGTGGATTCCATTTAGTTTTGTGGCATTTTTTCTTTTAACGTAAATTTTGAAATCTCTCGGAATTATTTGTTATTAACCCTTTGAGGGTCGACAGGCCCTCTCCGAAACTCGTTCTCAGGGTCGGCCAAATTTAAAAAAAAAAAATTATTTTCTCTTATGAAAAGATAGAGAATCTTTTCTCGATCATAAAGACACCAAAAGTTTGAAATTTGATAGAAAACTTACGGAATTATGCTCTCGCAAAGTTAGCGGTCTCGGCGATGTTTACGCATCGGCGATTTTGCCCACTTTGAGCCCCATTTTTGGCCAATTTCGCTGTACTAGTCGACAAAAAACATGAATATTTCGCTAGAACTCCATTTTTCTATCGAATGGGTGCAAGAAACCACCCATTATGAAATTCAACTATCCAGTACAGTGGTCAGAATTTAGCAATTTTGCCATTTCACACAAATTTCAAAAGATGCCAATTTCCGAATAGGGTCCAGAATAAACAAGAAAGACATTCCTGGCACTAAAATGACATTTCCTCTAGTCGTTAGTCACGGTCTCAAGGTCCCTCTTATATTCTTTTGCTTTCCATTTTGAATTTTTATTCTCACAAAAAATATAAGATTTACTGTTATGCAGACTACTGCATTAGTGTAAAAAATGGTATAAATATTATTGGTGCACTTGTGAAAGAATATTAGACTCACCAGTTGACGTGTATTGCACGCTTGGCACGATTTGTTTACTTTTGAAGTTTGGTAAAAATCGAACATTTCTGCTACTTTGAGCTCAATTTCAAGGCACCTTTCATTGTAAAACCAGCCAAAATCATCTCAATTCTGTAATATGTCTTCCATTCTATAAAATGAGACCAAAAAACTAGAATACAACAATAAATACCATACGAAAATACACTGCAAAGTCGCTGATTTATTCCAAAAAAATGGTCAAAGTTTTTTTTTTTCTCATTATGCACTGTGTGCTGCAGGATTTTTTTTAGACTGTGCACACTGACCACATAGACCCATTCTTTCATATGAAGGCCTACCAGCTTTCTCCCACTAGATTTGAGGCCGCTAGAATTTATGCGTACTAGTACGTCAAAAACCCCTACGCGTAAGACGTACTAGTACGACGAAAACCCTCAAAGGGTTAATGTTCAGTTATCTATATGCTATTCACTTGAAATATTATTATTATTATTATCACACTGGCCGATTCCCACCAAGGCAGGGTGGCCCGAAAAAGAAAAACTTTCACCATCATTCACTCCATCACTGTCTTGCCAGAAGGGTGCTTTACACTACAGTTTTAAACTGCAACATTAACACCCCTCCTTCAGAGTGCAGGCACTGTACTTCCCATCTCCAGGACTCAAGTCCGGCCTGCCGGTTTCCCTGAACCCCTTCATAAATGTTACTTTGCTCACACTCCAACAGCACGTCAAGTATTAAAAACCATTTGTCTCCATTCACTCCTATCAAACATGCTCACGCATGCCTGCTGGAAGTCCAAGCCCCTCGCACACAAAACCTCCTTTACCCCCTCCCTCCAACCTTTCCTAGGCCGACCCCTACCCCGCCTTCCTTCCACTACAGACTGATACACTCTTGAAGTCATTCTGTTTCGCTCCATTCTCTCTACATGTCTGAACCACCTCAACAACCCTTCCTCAGCCCTCTGGACAACAGTTTTGGTAATCCCGCACCTTCTCCTAACTTCCAAACTACGAATTCTCTGCATTATATTCACACCACACATTGCCCTCAGACATGACATCTCCACTGCCTCCAGCCTTCTCCTCGCTGCAACATTCATCACCCATGCTTCACACCCATATAAGAGCGTTGGTAAAACTATACTCTCATACATTCCCCTCTTTGCCTCCAAGGACAAAGTTCTTTGTCTCCACAGACTCCTAAGTGCACCACTCACCCTTTTCCCCTCATCAATTCTATGATTCACCTCATCTTTCATAGACCCATCCGCTGACACGTCCACTCCCAAATATCTGAATACATTCACCTCCTCCATACTCTCTTGAAATATTTGTATAAATTTACTTAAAAGTTTGCCTATGTTTCTTTATTTCTAAATGATCTGTTGGTAATAAATAATTTTTTGTATGAGAAATTGGTTGTGCGTTTGTTTCACTGATAGAGGAGAAAAATATTCAGCACATTAACCAAATTCTTGTCAGGTCAGTGACAGTGACTGATGAACATTCACCATATTCTTGCCAGTTTGTTCCGCTGATCAAGGAGAAGAACCTCGAGTACATTCGTCACATGCTGCTGTACGAGTGTCACCTGTCTGATAGTGATCGTCACTATGACAAGTGGCTCAACCTTCAAGGCAGCCAGTGCTATGGGGCCAACATGCCCGTGTCTTGGAAGTATTGCACTAGTCCCATCGTTGCTTGGGTTGTTGGTGGGGAAGGTAAACACACAGTTTTTTTACAGCAATACTAAATACTAGTGCAGGAGGTTACAAAAAGTACAAGGCCTCATAGCTCTGTCAGTGTTATTATTATTATTACTATTTTTTTTTCAATGCACTGGCCATATCCCATTGAGGCAGGGTGATCTAAAAAGAAAAAAACAAAAGTTTTTCTTTTTAAATTTAGTAATTTATACAGGAGAAGGTGTTACTAGCCCCTTGCTCCCAGCATTTTAGTCACCTCTTACAACACTCATGGCTGAGGGAGGAAGAATTCTTTTCCACTTCCCCATGGAGATTATTATTATTATTATTATGTGGAGACACCTTTGTACAGGTATCTGTGTGCAGATTAAATATATCAGTCATTGTTCATTCTGCAGGAGAGATGTTCCCAGATCATGTCGGCTTCCCGCTGGGAGAGGAGCACGGAGGAGCCACTTACTTCCTTATGGAGACTCGTTACAATAATCCCAACCTCAAACGAGGTGAGAGTGATGCTTACTGGGGACTAGGTGAGGTAATGCTTACTGGAGACTAGGTAAAGTAATGCTTACTGGAGACAGGTGAGGTAATGCTTGCTGGAGACCGGAGTAAAGTAATGCTTACTGGAGACCAGGTGAGGTAATGCTTACTGGAGACCAGGTAAAGTAATGCTACTGGGACCAGTGAGTAATGCTTACTGGAGACCAGGTAAAGTAATGCTTACTGGAGACCAGGTGAGGTAATGCTTACTGGAGACCAGGTAAAGTAATGCTTACTGCAGACCAGGTGAGGTAATGCTTACTGGGGACTAGGTGAGGTAATGCTTACTGGAGACCAGGTAAAGTAATGCTTACTGGAGACAGGTGAGGTAATGCTTACTGGAGACCAGGTAAAGTAATGCTTACTGGAGACAGGTGAGGTAATCTTACGGAGACCAGTAAGTAATGCTTACTGGGGACTAGGTGAGGTAATGCTTACTGGAGATTGGGTAAAGTAAGCTATGAGACAGTGAGGTAATGCTTACTGGAGACCAGGTAAAGTAATGCTTACTGGGGACTAGGTGAGGTAATGCTTACTGGAGATTGGGTAAAGTAATGCTTACTGGAGACCAGGTGAGGTAATGCTTACTGGAGACCAGGTAAAGTAATGCTTACTGGAGACCAGCTTATATTTTATTAACTCATTCCAGGTGAGCTGAAATTCAGGATTAGTCTGAAATCAGACAGTGATGGCACTGTATATTGGAGATTCAAAAACACAGGTAGGGAATTTTTTTTTTTTTTTTTTTTTTCAACAAGTCGGTCGTCTCCCACCGAGGCAGGGTGACCCAAAAAAGAAAGAAAATCCCCAAAAAGAAAATACTTTCATCATCATTCAACACTTTCTACACACTCAGAATTATCACTGCTTTTGACAGAGGTATGCTCAGAATACAGACAGTTTAGAAGCATATATGCTATAAAGAAATAACACAACATATTCACCTACCAAACTGCCAAATATCCCAAAACCACTACCTTTAAAGTGCAGGCATTGGACTTCCCATTTTCCAGGACTCAAGTCCGACAATATCTACTGAAAATAACCGTTTAGCCATGAATCCTTACTAAATAATTACTGCTCACATCCAAAGTATGTCTAGGTCCCAAGTATCATTTAGTCTCCATGTGAAACTCCATATCTAACACGCTATGGCACGCTTGATGGAAGTCCAAGACCACTCACACAACACCTGTTTAAATTAGTTTTCCATAGTACATTCTAAGTAGTATAAATACTCTTAATGCTATCTAATTCATCTTCAGTTTGTGAGGTTGTGAAGTAGTCTAATTGTTTCTATGTTAATTGTATTTTTAAATACCACAGAGGCACGTTAGTGTGACTGGTTAATGGTCCAAGTCGGACCCAAATGTCATCATAAAGTTTTTTCTTCTATGTGTGGGTTATTCATGTATAATTTTATTCTTATTGGTGCACTTATCTCATTAAAACTACAGTACTTTTCAATCAGCTGAGGCAAAAATTATAAGTTACTTTGTATGACTTTTTTGGGTTATCTTAGGTAATTTACACTGTATGTTACTATGTATGATCATTATACTTATGTGTACCTGTGCCTAAATAAGCTAGCTAGCTTCTTTTTCTTGTAGTATTGTTGATGCTTCTGGTATACGCATCTTCTACACTGAGCGTCTGCGAAAGTTTGATGCTGGAGTCATGACAGTGGGACACGATGTCGACTCCATTGCATATTATTCCACCCAATCAAAAGTGGCTTTCTGTTGGCCTCTGCCATGGCTCCTGTACACAAAAGGTATATTTGTATTTCCTTAGAGACTAGGAAAGATGGTCTCTTGAGTAAGCAAATAATAATGTCTCTTGAGTTACTGTATTTACCAAATTTGCCCGCTGAAAAAATGTTTGTTTATGCATACAAACAATAATGATTATAATCATGACTATAATTTTTTTAAAGAGGTGGATGGGTAAGCCAGCATAAAGTCTCAGTCAGATGACCAAAAGCTGCAGCAGTGGGTCATCATATGACTAAGACCCACACATCAGGAAACACTTGTCCTGTTTCCTGACAACTCTTAGCTAACCTAACCTATGTATACAAACAACTTTATTTCTAGAAAGTGGAGTACTGTACAGTATATAATTACAGTAATTAACATGTATAAACTATAGGAAGCCCCTTGTTATGCAAGGCATTTTGGGCAGCTTTTAAACTAACTTATAATTACTAGACAGTGAGAAACATGTAGTACACGAGAATAAGAATACTTAGTTTATACTATATTAATTAAAGGTATTCAGTAATTCAATATAAAATTCTAATTAATGGTATATTAAGGATAAAGCTATGTACATTATGTAACCAAGCGATCACTACTGTAACTGAATCCATTATGCTTGTAAAATCTTCATTATTATTGTAACTTTCTTAGCTAACACAATATTGGGGCCTCATCCCTGGAACTTTGGTGCCTCTGTAAATATTACACTGTAATTATCCTTGTAAATAAGGCAGAATAAGGAATAATGACAATTAAGATGCATAAAACATATGGATGGTGAGACATACAAGTATGTGATATGAATATTAAAAATTAAAATATAAATTTACCTGGAGTATATCTGGAGGGTGTTCCAGGGGCCAGTGCCCCTATGAGATCATGAAGCCTGGTGCATGACCAGGCCTCATGACTAGACCTCCATGACCAGGCCCCCATGACCAGGCCTCCATGACTAGGCCTTATGACCAGGTCTCATGACCAGGCCTCCATGACCAGGCCTCGATGACCAGGCCTCATGACCAGGCCTCCATGACCAGGCCTCCATGACCAGGCCTCATGACCTGTTCTCCATGACCAGGCCTCTATGACCAAGCATCATGACCAGTCCTCCTTGACCAGTCCTCCTTGACCAGGCCTCATGACCAGGCCTCCATGACTAGGCCTCATGACCAGGCCTCCATGACTAGGCCTCATGACCAGGCCTCACAAGGGCATTGACCCCTAGAACACCCTCCAGGTATACTCCAGGTATATTCATATTTGTTTTAATTTTTAATATTCATATCACACATTTGTTTGTTTGTCCAATCATCCATATACTATTATATGCAACTTAATTGTCATTATACCTTATTCTGCTTTATTTACAGGGATAATTACAGGATCTGCACATTAAATTTCAGGAATTACCAGCTGAAGGAGTGAAGGTGTTCCAGGGACTCCTACAAGCTCACCAGCTGGCTCGGTCTATCTCAGTTCGACACCTCCGTCATGGTGAAGAACGTCGCGTTCTTGCAAAAGGTGAAGCTGGAGGCTAACACGACTGTGCTTTATAGAGTATGAATGTGTGTATTAATTCACATTTCATGGTGATGTCAGTGTTTGAAGGTTCATTAGTTTTATCAAAAATTTAAGATACAGTAGACTAAATCATGAGAGGAATTATAAGGTTAACAGACTGTATTGTTCGGCATGACATATTTAAATTTGACCGCCAGACATGACCTATGACTCCAGCAACCAACAACCAAGGATAGTGATGGAGGAAGTGACCATTCTGCCCATGGACTCTCTGATCACTGAGTGCACCTACGACTCCACTCGTCGCCACCGAGCCACCTTCGTGAGTTACATTGTCAGAAAAATTACACCGGGCAGAGTGCAGGGAACACAAGGCATGCATGCTAGTGGCATTCTTTGTGCTTAATAATACTTTATTATAAGTAAACTACAGTTTGTATACCACACAAAGAAATACAAATTTTGATTTTGCTCTGATAGTGTACTAACAGATATTTGACAGATATACTGTACTTTGGAATGTGCATGGAGATTGTCAGATACCTGATAAATAATATTTATGTTTAGAAATATTCAAGTGTGATGTCTTCCTCCAGGGTGGGTTTGGTGCAGAGGATGAGATGTGTCTAGCCTACTTATCATATTACCCTCGTGTCAACCTTTCTCTCTGTACCTCTACCCCTCCTCTGGAGACCATCTCTGAGGCTCTTGGAATACAAAATACATATGATAAGGGAAAGATGTACGTTAAGCATGTTTGTTAATTTTATTCTTAACTCAGTGGCCACCTCTTGCCATGGCAGGGTGACCCAAAGAAGAAAACACACTGACAAACATTCTCTTAACTGCTGTCTTTCCAGAAGGGTGCAGACATCACAATCAGATTACCCTCTGACTGCAACAGCCTCACCCCTCCATCAGAATATAGAATTATGAAAAAAGGCACAATACCATGACTGAAACAATACACAAATAACCCGCACATAGGAGAGAGAAGCGTACCACAATGCTTCAGTCCGAAAGTCATCGTAAGTTTCCTTCTCCTATCTGTGGGTTATTTGTGTAATGTAGAATTATATTTATTATGTAGAACTTGCAAATAATTCTGTGGCATATAGAGTAAATGATGGTGAAAGTGTTTCTTTTTCGGGTCACAGTACCTTGGTGGGAGACAGCCAGTGTGCTAAAAAGTTAATAAAAGGAAATAATTAAGGTAATTATCGCATTAAAAAATGGAAGTACAAAAAATATTATTTAACCCTTTGACTGTTTTCGACGTATAAATACATCTTACGAGCCAATGTTTCTGACATATATATACTCAATAATTCTAGCGGCTTCAAATCAAGCTGGAGAAAGCTGGTAGGCCCACATGTGAGAGAATGGGTCTGTGTGGTCAGTGTGCACCACATAAAAAAATCCTGCAGCACACATTGCGTAATGAGAAAAAAAAACTGATCGTTTTTTTTTTTTTGGAATAAAACGCCGACTTTGAGGTGTATTTTCGTATAGTATTTATCGTTGTATTCGCGTTTTCATGGTCTTAGATGATAAAATGGAAAACATATTACAGAAATAGAGATGATTTTCATTACTTTGACGATGAAGACGACCTTGAAACTGAGCTCAAAGTAGCGGAAATGTTCGATTTTTACCAATGTTCAGGAGTAAATAAATCACACCACACGTCCAATACACGTCAACTGGGGAGTCTAATATTCTTTCACTAGTGCACTGATATTATTTATACCATTTTTATAATAATGCAGTAGTCTGCATAACAGTAAATTTTGTATTTTTTTGTATGAATAAAAAATCAAAACAGAAAGCAATAATAATATAAGAGGGGCCTAGAGATGTGACTAATGAACAGAGCATATGTTATTTTAGTGCCACGAATGTCTACCTTGTTTATTCTGGACCCTATTTTGAAATTGGCATCTTTTTTAGTTTGCGTGAAATTGGCCAAATTGCCAATTTCTGACCACCATATTGGGTAGTCCAAATTAGTAAATGGGAGGTTTCTTGTGCTCAGCTGATAGATAAAATGGAGTTCTAAAGAAATAGCTATGAGTTTAGTCAACTGGAGCAATGGAATTGGCTGGGAATGGGGCTCAAAGTCGGCGAAATCGCCGATACGCATATGTCACCGAGACCGCTAAATTCGCAGGAGCATAATTCCATGAGTTTTCGACCAAATTTCGAACTTTTGGTGTCGTTGCCGTCGGGAAGAGATTCTCTATCATTTCATAAGAAAAAATAATTTTTTTTTTTTTTTTTAAAAATTGAGCGACATAGAATGACAGTTTCAGTGAGGGGCCTGAAACAGTCAAAGGGTTAAAGAATTACTCCTGTGTCACTTATATTAAAAATAAAAGATAATTTATTTCAGCATGATATAATGTTTGTACAGAGGTAGCTGACATGTTATTAATTTCTATTATATGTTGAATATGTATACACTCATAACATGTATACTCTTATAAATGTGAAATCTTAGATATGTATACTTTTATAATGGTGAAATCTCAGATATGAATACTCAAGAAATGTATACTTGGAAATTAAAAAAAATATACATGTACTCATAAATTATTGATACTCACTAAAATTTATGTCTTTAAAAATAAACTCAAAATTATACTCATAAATTATATACCATACACACAACACACCAGAAAATAATGTGAGATAAGCTTATACGAGTCCAGAATGTGACTACACTGGTTGAACCATTTACACTAGTCGCTACATTTCTTAATCACTAAAAATCTATAATAATCTAGAATTTTGCCTTTTTCAGGGGAAAAATTTTACATGGCAGGTAAGTTGACTGTGAGTATCCTTTCTTCGGTGGTTTGTATACCTTTCAGTCCTGAAGTAATATACATCCTCAGCGTATACATATTTTGCAATGTATTCTTTTTCATTTTCAATTAGTGTTAGTATTAGGCTTTTCCTTGTAAAAAATCAGCACTGTAAACCTACCTTCATAATCCTTATGTATCGTAATGGAAATTATTATTGTTGCGTATTATTATCATTATTACTATGTTTTCTGGCACATAAGACGCACCATATTCAAGAGCTAATTACCCTCTTACTTTACGCTAAAGCATAACCCAAATTTTACCCGTGACCCTGACCTTGACGATAAAGGTGCAGGATGATTTTCCAAGACGTTTTGTGGGTAAAAAAGGTGCGCCTCATATGCCGAAAAACACAATATTATTACTATTATTATTAGGTGAATTAGAAAGGAAATTTTAAGTAACAAAGATTTAGGTGAGTAAAGTTAAAGAAAAATACAATTGAGCTAGTGATGGAGAGTGACAATACTTCGAGATATTTGAAAGTATTCAAGGTGGTTTTATTAGGTGAATACATGAAGATAACAGTTATAGTTACAAAAAGATAGGTCGGAACGATTGAAATCAGCAAAATGGATGAGAGTATGGAGGGAACGTATTCGATTTGGAAGTGAACGTGTCACCTGGATGGTCTTGAAAGATGAGGTGAATCATAGAATGATGATGGAAAAAGATGAGTGGTGCACTTAGGATCTGTGGAGCAGAGAACTTTGTCCTTGGAGGCAAAGAGGGGAATGATGAGAGTATAGTTTTACAACGCTTTATATGGGTGTGAAGCATGGGTGAGAATTTGCTGCGAGGAGAAGGCTGAGGCAGTGGAGATGTCATGTCTGAGGGCAATGTGTGTGTGAATATAATGCAGAGAATTCGTAGTTTGGAAGTTTAGAGGAGGTGTGGGATTACCAAAACTGTTGTCCAGAGGGCTGAGGAAGGGTTTTTGAGGTGGTTCGGACATGTAGAGAGAATGGGAGCGAAACAGAATAACTTCAAGAGTGTATCAGTCTGTAGTGGAAGGAAGGCGGGGTAGGGGTCGGCCTAGGAAGGGTTTGGAGGGAGGGGGTAAAGGAGGTTTTGTGTGCGAGGGCTTGACTTCCACAGCAAGCGTGAGCGTGTTTGATAGGATGAATGGAGACAAATCCGTTTTTTAAATACCTATGTACGTATGTTATTGAGTGTGGCATATTACATTATTACTATGTTTTTCTGGCAAACGGCAGCCACTAGTCACTGAGATAAGTACCTCCTGACTCTTAACGGATAAAGGCATTTAAAAATTTTAACGTGACCCTCTGAAAGCAGTGATAGTGCATGAGTAAAATTTTCCAAGACCTGTTGGTGGGAAAAATGGCCTAATGCGAAAACAATATTAATAATTATTAGGGTTGTTCTTGATTATACAAGTACGTAAATGTTTCATCATTAGTAGGTTAAAGGAAAAATACATTTATCTAGTGATGGCATATACAATACTTCTGAGACTTACATTAAAATCATTCAATTGTTTTTGGAATTTAAGGTATACATGTATGCTCATCAACAGTTATTATTTTACATTTAGCACAGGTCGGCCATCACCAATCCAGCAATCAATTATCTGGTTCTATCAGTAATCTGGCACCAATTTCGGGTAGCATAATTTCAAATTTCATCATTATACTGACTCAAATATCATTATACTGACTCAAATATCATCATTATACTGACTCAAATATCATCATTATACTGACTCAGAAATTGTGCAGGTGGTTGTAAATCCACAGCAGCAAGCCAGTGGAGGAGAAAGCAGTGATGAAAATGAGGAAGATATAGCAGAAAGAGTCTCTACTGATAGGTTAATTAAGTGCATTCTACCCTAACTACTCTGTAATTCTTCAAACTCACTAATCTGGCACACTACAGGTCCCAATGATGCCAGGATTAGTGATGGCCAACCAGTACATAACTTTCCAAAATTAACTCTGATATGGAACTAAGGCAGTTCCGATCTTTGTTATCAGCATGGCAAACATGTGACTGCAGTCTTCCTTCAGGGCAGAGTTGGATGAAGAGGCAGAGAGAGAGTTGCTTGATGCTGTGCAGAGCAATGTGTCTCCAGAGGACACCACCATCCAGGTGTCACAGATGTTTCACACACTGGTTGTCAAGACACCTGAAAGTGAGAATAAAAGCTTCTTCATATATCTGCTTTCATATATGTATCGATGTGTGTGTATCAATATGACTCAGATAGCTGGCTGACTTGAAGTTTAAGTAAGAATTTTGTCTGTGACATTAAGACCAGTATTTTTCTAGCATATAAATGTTTAAACTTATGCATTTTTAATTTGCAACTTACATACCCTTATTTGGTATAATAAATTTTTATAAACAGCTGTGTATACTTTGAATGTACTGTGTTATACTTATATGAATAAGTAAGAGTGATGTTCTATTCTTGACTCGGGAAATCATAATAACATGACTGTAAACAAACCAGGGAAAGTTTTATGACTCACTTGCCATGAGTTCTAACCCCCAGCCATACGATGGTTTGTTTATTCCTACTTTTGGTAAATCTTATATAAAATATATTTGTAAATGTTGTAGAATACGTCAATATGTCGCTTCATGACATTCTTCATGATGATGTGACATGGCAAGATAGTCGTGTGGTCGCAGCACTGCAGGAGAAGGTAGTGTTTGGCAGATATGCCACCAAGTGTCGTCAGCAGAGCGCCAGGGTGTTCAGTGTGAGTGTTTAGTGTTTGGCATTGTAAATATGTGAATATAACAGTACAGTTTCTATGCATATATGCTAATTTATGAATCAGACCATCCCAAAATAGTTCATTACTACTGTAACTTGTTTAGCTATCAAAACTTTGCGGCCAAGTCCCTGGACCCATTATGTAACTAATCTTTTACACCCACAGGGTAGGTAGGTATAGGGTGCATAATATATTACACTAACCAAAATTTATTATAATTTGATTATTTTTCTCACATGTGTTGGCATCAGGAAGACGAGATAGTTCCATTCCCAGACTTCAGGGCTCGCAAGAGTCGTTCCCAGCAGTGTGACATTAACCAACAAGGTGTGTGTTAAGGAGTAAAAAGTTACACAGCCATGGCTGTTTCTTATACAGTTATATTCACTTGTTCCGTCTCCCTTGCCCCATACACTACGTAATCCCTCTACGTTTAGCACTTCCTGCTAATTATATTAAGAATATAGACATAATTACTAAGACAAATATTTTTTTGTTAATTTTAAGAATAAAGACTAAAATCTGATACAGTAATACATGTATAAGAAGTTCTGAAATACATTATTATATATGTACATGTTGTAGGTAGTAGGTTGGTAGACAGCAACCACCCAGGGAGGTACTACCGTCCTGCCAAGTGAGTGTAAAACAAAAGCCTGTAATTGTTTTACATGATGGTAGGATTGCTGGTGTCTTTTTTTTCTGTCTCATAAACATGCAAGATTTCAGGTACATCTTGCTACTTCTACTTACACTTAGGTCACACTACATATACATGTATAAGTACATGTATGTATACCCAGAGGGTATATCATCCTGGGTATGTATATACCCCTCTGGGTTTTCTTCTAGTTTCTTTCTAGTTCTTGTTTATTTCCTCTTATCTCCATGGGGAAGTGGAACAGAATTCTTCCTCCGTAAGCCATGCGTGTTTTAAGAGGCGACTAAAATGCCGGGAGCAAGGGGCTAGTAACCCCTTCTCCCATATAAATTACTAAATTTAAAAAGAGAAACTTTCGTTTTTCTTTTTGGGCCACCCTGCCTTGGTGGGATACGGCTGGTTTGTTGAAAAAAAAAAAATATGTACATGTACTTGAAAATACGCTGAATACATTGTCACCCCTCCTCTTTCTCTTCCCTTCCCTCAAGTTTGACTTGTCTTTCCACATTGAAGTTCATGGCTTGTGCTTGGCTGACTAATATCCCCCAACAAAGTCCATAGATGAAGATCCCAGCCTTCTCTTTGATTTAAATAGTGAGGATGTTCACTCACCAACATTTCAGCTTTGTATGGTCTGAATTGATTTAGTGAATTTTTATACAGTAAATAAAGTAAAATTTGCCTGTTGGAGTCATACAGGGCTCTAATTTTGAAAAAAAGACAAAACATCCTTGCCATTTAAACAACAAATGTTGATGTTGTTTTCTGTGTACTGCACAAGACATAGTAGCCACTTAACCAGGTCATGGAATCCTCACAACCACCTAATAGACTCAGTTTGGTCCTGGCACTGTTCTTGTTAGGCAGAGATCACCCAAGCACAGTTCTTTAACTCCCACCATCTTGTAGAGGTGACCCAAATCCAGGAAGGAAGAGGAGGAAAAGAAAGATCATCCAGAATTTATACTGTTATATTTTTACATTTTTGAACTTTACATTGCTTTTAATAGGAAATTTTAAGTTGTGTATTAAATTCTCTCGTTTTTCTTTTTGGGCCACTGTCTTTCAGTGGGATACAGCCGGTTTGTTGAAAGAAGAAGATATTAAATTATTGATGGCAAGTAATACGGGAGAAGGGTTACTAGCCCCTTGCTCCCGGCATTTTAGTCGCCTCCTAAAACATGCATGGCCTTTTATATCAACAGCGGGTGTCCCACAAGGCTCTTGTCTTAGTCCAATTCTCTTCAACATTTATGTGAATGGCCTTCCTCAACCAGAGTTTAATGATACAATTATAACACAGTTTGCAGATGATGTTATCCATGTCGTCTCATCAACTACGGTAACAGGGAAATACAAGTATGAGAGAGTCATAGAAAAAATGAATATTGAACTTCGTCGAACATCTAATTGGGAAAAGAAATGGAGAATTACAACTAATCCTGACAAAGTCCTTGTTAGCACAATAGGATGTTTTTCATCAACCATCGAAGATAAAGGGGGTATCTCCATCAGAGGTACACCTGTAGCCATTAGAAACCCTAACAAGATTTTGGGATATGAAATAGACAGGCTGCTCCACTCAACATCTCATGTAACTAAAAAGATCAACATAGCCAAAGCCGGTCTTAGCAGTCTCTTTCGATTCAATCAAGCCCCTCCACATGTCAAAAAACATCTGTATAAAATGATAATAAGACCTATACTCGAACATCCATGTGTCCCAATGTCATTAACAACAAAGACCAACATGCTATGGTTACAACAGGTACAGAATAGAGCTCTTCGCTTCATTACGGGTACCAGGAGGAGAGACAGAGTTAAAATGGCAGATTTACACGTACAAGATATTACTGCCTTAAATGTACACCTTGACACCTTGAAAAAGAAACAACTCTATGCAATGCAAGAACTCTACATGCCAGATAGAGAACATCCTCTACAAGTTGAAAATACCACGGATTATATCATCAATACTCCTCCTCAAAGGACTCAAAGAATGACTCTCCCACAGAGGGTCCGTCGTTTTATCCATAGAGATGATTACCATCGACCAATGATATTGAGCAACCTCCCTGATGAAGATGATTGGGTAACACCAGAACCCTTCTATGTTTACTGAGAAAATCACCACCCCCAATTAGGGAGATATCTTATATAACATTCTACTGTAAAAGTTATGCTAAATTTACTATGGCGGGGCACCACCTATAAGAAGCCATTGTCAAGTAATTCTTTATAAACTGGCCAGAAAATTATTGCCTTCATTGTCACTTAAATATCCGTTGTGCAATCGCAAAAAAAAGCAATTGCAACTTGTATATTTACTACCAATTCAGAGTCATGTACTTAGATATAACAGATATACATGTGACTCTGATGGGTTAGTACTATACCCCTTGAAGAATATCTTATTATTTCACATACACCTTTTAAATTACAACAAAGTGGTTGGGCCACTTACCTTTTATATCCTACCTCTCTCCCCCCTCCCACCCTTTTTCAATATTTCTATCCTTACCCATCCTTCTTCCTTACCCATCTTACCAAAGCTCTGGTCATAAGAAGAAGTAATATTGACACACTGATTAACATTGCACTCATACAGTATTGAGATATGTATCTTTATTGCTGAAACATTCTGCCTACACAGTAGCCTTTTTCAGTCAAATACAGGTGATTATATCACTGGAGACAGTAGAAATAATTTCAAGGTGATCAGTCCCTTGGCAATAAGGGTACTCAGGTGTTGACCATGTGTCTTATTATTAAGTCATGCAAGTTATCTTTATAAAACATCAAAGCTGAGACAAGGTGCTTCAGTGAGCATGAATAGGGTTCCCTAAGGGTCAGTAACACTGTATAGCATTAGATATGAAATAAGGGCCCTCTCTGGGCATGTACTGTATACCATCAGAGCTGCAATACAGTCCCTCACTGGGCATGAACAAGTAAACTTTGATGATCAACCTTGCTGAGTCACTAATGATGAGCTTGGTGACACTGCAGTAATGATGATCTAGCCAAGTATGTAGGCATCTCATGAGTGCTGTGCTTATGTTTAGTGAAAGTGGCAGATTTGCAGCCCCTCACTGATACAAATTATAGTATTGTCTACTGCTGAAATACCCTGGCATGTTAGTGGTTTTCTTTGTACCTAACAACACATTTTTTTTTTATTATCACACTGGCCGATTCCCACCAAGGCAGGGTGGCCCGAAAAAGAAAAACTTTCACCATCATTCACTCCATCACTGTCTTGCCAGAAGGGTGCTTTACACTACAGTTTTTAAACTGCAACATTAACACCCCTCCTTCATTATAAAATGTAATTACACATTGCAACCTTTGCAGGAGAAATAAATTTTGTCTTTGTCTGTCTTGTCTTGACAGCAGAAGTCCCTCTGGCTTATGTATATCCTTCTGCCACAGTCAAGTCCAATTAGTAATCTTCAAGTGTGAGTCAGGGAATTATTCTTATTATTATTATTTTCACAGAAAATGGTAAAAGTCACTCTTCCCATATTGCTCATCCCTGAGAAATATGGGAGAGGGGAACGAGGAGGATAGATACAATTCCTTGAATCAACAGCTCATCATTATTGTCTCTTCCCTTAAAGAATGGGCTTACTATAGATAATCTTTAAAATTTGTATGATCTCAATTAGATGATAATGTTTATATAGAAAACCTAATGAACATCACTTTAGTGTAAATTTTAATAAATTATTAACACCAGGATTATTTAAATACTTAATTGTAAGAGAGGCACTTAATGAATGGAGACTCTTGATGCCAATAATGTTTATATTCAGGTAATAAGGGATTTCCTAGGTAGTAGATTGGTAGACAGCAACCGCCCAGGGAGGTACTACCGTCCTGCCAAGTGAGTGTAAAACAGAAACCTGTAATTGTTTAACATGATGGTAGGATTGCTGGTGTCTTTTTTCTGTCTCATAAACATGCAAGATTTCAGGTACGTCTTGCTACTACTTCTTACACTTAGATCACACTACACATACATGTATACAAGCATATATATATATATACACACCCCTCTGGGTTTTCTTTTATTTTCTTTCTAGTGCTTGTTCCATGTTTATTTCTTCTTATCTCCATGGGGAAGTGGAACAGAATTCTTCCTCCGTAAGCCATGCGTGTTGTAAGAGGCGACTAAAATGCCGGGAGCAAGGGGCTAGTAACCCCTTCTCTTGTACAAATTACTAAATTTAAAAAGAAAAACTTTCGTTTTTCTTTTTGGGCCACCCTGCCTTCGTGGGATACGGCCGGTTTGTTGAAAAAAAAAAAATAATGGATTTGTTTTTATGAGTGTGACAGGATAGGTAAGACTTGTCAGGGAATAGGACAAGTGTTTCCTGATGCGGGTCTTAATCATATGATGACCTACCACTGGAGCTTTTGGTCATCTGATTGAGACCTTCCACTGGCTAACCTATCCACCCTTTTAAAAATTATTAAGTATGAGTTTGATCGCTGGAACTGAGTAACAAGAGAACGATGAGGGTTAATGTCAGCTTAGCTTAGCATTCTGCCCTTCCTTTGCTGATCACACTGCTTCTTACTTCCAGGCTTGCTCACCATAGAGTCACTTGCTGCCAACCCTGACTCCAGCAGCACCCAGTCACCTAGCAAGGAAACCACCTCATCTAACAGCTCAGTATCATCCAGTGAGAGTGCCGACTCATCCAGCACAGTATCATCCAGTGAGAGTGCTGATTCATCCAATACAGAATCAAGTGAGAGCTCTGACTCATCCAACAAGAGTACAGAATCATCCAGTGAGAACAGCAGCTCTTCAGACTCTGAGCTGCCTACACAAACCAGGTTTATCAATACTAAATCACCCAGCAAGAACCCAGACTCAACCAACACTGTGTCGTCCACTGCCACTACCATCCAGGCTAAGCCTCTTCCGTGCCCTTCATTTATCCCCTTTTGCACAAAGCGACGTATGCCCTTCCTAACCAAGAGTCGGAACCACCTGGGAGTTCGGCCGTACTTCTTTTAGGATTTGAGTGAATGTGGCAGAATAATATAGCATGTTAAAGTCTGGCATTTAGCCATGGTTAGGTACTGGAGGCATGGAGACCCATGGAATTTACGAGCAAATAAATGGTGGAGGCTTGATATGGATATCAATGCATTCACATATACATCCAGTTGTCTTTTGCAAACTGCAAGAATACCCTTCAGTATTATTTATACTAACTGTCATTACTGTTAGGATCTCTGAGCCATATGGGTTTAGCATTTTTTATTTATAATAATATTTAATTCTACAAGTACATAATACAACATACAGACCTAGCTAACATCAATGACGTACTACATGTGTATAGAAAGCCCCTGGTTATGTAGAGCATTTTGGGCAACTTATGTTAATCTTGTCCCCAGGAAGCAACCCACACCAGCTGGCTAACACCCAGGTACCTACTTACTACTAGGTGAATAGGGGCAGCAGATGCCTTAAGGAAACATGCCCAATATTTCCATCCATGCTGGGAATTGAACCACAGATACTCACTGTGTGAACCGAGTGCACTACCAACCAAATGCTAATTGCTCTAACCCTCATCTAGGTACCTCATAGCACAGTGGTAAGCATGCTTAGTTCACTGCTTAGGAAACATATTGTCAAACCCCTCATGAGGCAGTACATATGGACAAGACTCCTAGCACCTAGTGCCTTTGTGCCCTAGCAGTAAGCAGATACGTACTTCAAATTTAGTTGACTGTTCTGGGTTGCATTCTGGGGAAGGAGCATAAAAGAATCCCATTGTAAGTAAGCCACATTGATCAGCTCTGATTACCTTGGCTTACTAAGCCTTCAGGGTTAATAATGTGAATAAAGTTTTCTTCGTACATGAAGATCTCGAGATGTTTCTTCCCACACCTTGATATTGCCTGGAATTTTTGAATAAAAACATTGGAACTAAGGTTTTATGGAAAGAATTTTGTGCTAAGAGATCTTTAACACTGCAGAAGGTGGCATGGTATTGCTGGAATGGTTTCTTTTATTACTTTGAAACTTAATTTGTATTGTGATATTTATAAACTTGATATATACCAATAAAATATAATTCAGCAGACATTTTATTTTCTTCAAGCCCATGTCTGAAATTTAAAAAAAAAAAATTAACAGGTCAAACAAATAAGATTTTTTGGTGTGTGTTATGTGCATGTGTGTGTAATATGTACTTACCTCTATGTACTTACCATATATGGTTGCAGGGGTCGAGTCTTAGCTCCTGGCCCTGCCCTTCAACTTGCTGCTTTACAGATTCACTCCCTTCTAGCTTTGTGGGACCTGTCATACCCCCTCTTTAAACTATTTGTGTGTTGCCTCAAGCCCACTGGCTAAACAATTTATATGTTAAGTATTCAAAATAAACTAAGGCTAGCATACCTTAAGGAGCACCACCATCACCACCGCCACCGGCACTGTCACACTGGTGAGTCTCTGGCTCCAAATGGATGAAGGTTGGGTAGGGAAAGACATCAGGGACCTGCAGGAGGAACACATAGAACTAAAGAGGTGCTCACACCAAGAAGTTTGTTATATTAAGAAGAAGCTTTACATGTAGGGTTAATAACCCAGGGTGACCCAAGAAAGCAAAGCAGTGTGGTGCTGTGTCATATTCCTACTGAAGTCCAAAGGTGTTATGAGGCTTGCTCATACATCCTATCTCACTCACTCACTAGTTCTATTAATTGATAGATGAACTTGCTGCCATGAGATGCCTTTAAGTACTGGTAGCACTCAGGAAAAGGATGAGGAGCATTCTGTACTGAGTGTCACTGGCCACACTCAGCAGAAGGATGAGGATTATTTTGTACTGAGTGACTTCTAACCTGTTCTCATCATTCTCTAATATTAATTTATACATATAATATAAATTTTAGTATATGCCCATTTCTGTCTACCTTTAGCCATTTCTTTGTTCCTTTCCTTCATATCACCCACTGTTTTTTTTCAGTGGCAGAGAACTGTATACCTTACTGGTGGAAACTCTACATGTAAAATACCATTAACTTACCCAAAGAAAACAACTCCTTGTATGGTGTGATTGGTAGATCATTAGCTTACTGTAAAAAAATTTGGTATGGTGTCATAGTTAAGTAAATCACTAGAGACACCCAGGTGTTGCACCTGTGTTGTACCTCGATTGGTAGCAGAGGATGCTGCCAACTGAGCCACAAGCGCCCCTTATCCCTGAGAAAAACCACTAGTGACTAGAGGACCCATTATTTATTTCATGCTCCACAATAGGGCTCTGGAATTTATCAAAAGAATAGTCCCTTTAGGGCTGTAAGAAGGACACAATAATCTACTCGTTAATATTCTGTATCATACCAGTAAAATCTTGTGTCATTCTTACAGCCCTCAAGGCCTTGTTGTGGAGCATGAAATAAATAATTGTGCCTCTAGTCACTAGTAGTTTTCCTTAGGGACAAGGGGTGCTTGTAGCTCAGTTGGTAGCATCCTCTGCTCATGAATACTGAGGGACCCAGGTTGGTGCCCTGGCACAGTTGAAATGTTGGGCATGTTTCCTCACACTTGCTGCCCCTGTTCATCTAGCAGTATGTAAGTACCTGGGGTGTTAGTTGACTGGTGTCTTAATATTTTGGACTATCCTAGGTAATTTGCATATGTTACTAGGTATGATAATTGTACTCCTGTACCTGTCCCTAAATAAATATATTTGCACCCTAGGGAAAGAACATTAGGGGGCCCCCAGAGGAAATAAGACAAACTCTTATGATTTGCTGATTTTACTGGGTTATCCAAGGTGGTTAACCCTTCAGGTTAAAAGTCCGAACGAACTCTTATTGTAATGAGAGAGACGTAACTCCTTCCTGGGGGTAAATGAGGTGAGATGTGAAGCAGTGTAGTTCTAGACTTGGGAGAGAGTGGGTCCCAGTTGCTCATCAGTAGGAATAATGACTGTTTCAACTCACTTTCAAAAAAATCATAAAATCTTATGAAAGTTATGGTAAAAGTCAAGTAAAAAGGTCTTAAAAGTGGCCAGTCTATAAGTACATTCAGCAGCGCTGTATAGTCCTTATGGCTTAGCGCTTCTTTTTTTATTATAATAATAATAATATAAGTACATTCAAAATTCTTCACTTAGTCCTGGCAGGTACAGACCACTTACCCCTGGCATTTTGCCTTCTGGAGTGCGGCACTTGGAGGTGTGGAGACCATTTATTGTCCGGTCTTGCAGTGTTGAGACCAACTGGTCATCCTTCCAGGTCTCCTCGTTGGTCAGGATGCTATATAGACTGATGTTGTGGTATTCTGTGGTATGAGACAGATTGGTAGCTGTATTATGTACAGCATACCCATCCTGTGGGCAGCAGTAGTCACCACATACCCATCATCAATATATATTACCCTGAGAATCATATATACTCATTTAAACTGTATACTCATCCATGTATATTCATTCATTTATAATCATATCCATGTAAACTCATGCATATTCATACTTATGTATACTACTCATGCTGATTTATACTCATTCATACAGTCATGCCTCACAAAGCAGACACTTCAAGGTTGCCTGCCATGATGACCTTGAAGGGCTCTTTGATCTGAGGAAGGGGAGCTAGTCTCCCCTTCCTCGGATCACAACTGATGCCTTCTCTGTCTCCATGTGCTGTATGACCCCGGGGGTTTAGTGCTTTCCCCTGATGATAATATAATCTGAGTCATAATAATTTAACAATGTATTTAATACTACTACTACTGCTACTACTACTAATACTGCTACGACCACTGAACGTAGATAAGTATGTTTATGGAGCAACATGCACTGTGAACAGACTGACTGATGTTGTAGTGGCCTGGCTTAGGCTTTGTTACAAGTACTGACTGATGTTGTAGTGGCCTGGCTTAGGCTTGGTTACAAGTACTGACTGATGTTGTAGTGGCCTGGCTTAGGCTTGGTTACAAGTACTGACTGATGTTGTAGTGGCCTGGCTTAGGCTTGGTTACAAGTACAGTGGACCCCCGGTTAACGATATTTTTTCACTCCAGAAGTATGTTCAGGTGCCAGTACTGACCGAATTTGTTCCCATAAGAAATATTGTGAAGTAGATTAGTCCATTTCAGACCCCCAAACATACACGTACAAACGCACTTACATAAATACACTTACATAATTGGTCGCATTCGGAGGTAATCGTTATGCAGGGGTCCACTGTACTTCTGGCAGTTTGGGAGACACACAGATGATGATCAAACTAAATGTAAATTATATGATCAGGCATATGGTCACTGTCTTGAACACAATGTGCTTAATTGTCCACTTATTGAGGAATACAGAGACAGACAGTATAATAACCTATGTGATATGTCAAGATATCTTATTAATGAAAATAAGATACCAGACAGTAGATATGTAGATAAATAAAAACCCCACATGTACACCTGTTAACCATTTTGGGGCCTAGTTCCTAGGCATTTTGTGTATCCATATGTTTTTGCACTACCATCCACAGGATGGATATGAGGTGCACAATAAACTAGCCACTTCAGTGGCAAAATCTGATCTCTACTACTACTACTACTACTACTGCTACTACTACTACTACTACTACTGCTACTACTACTGCTACTACTACTGCTACTATTACTGCTACTGCTACTATTGCTGCTACTACTGCTACTACTACTGCTACTATTGCTACTACTACTACTATTGCTACTACTACTACTGCTACTACTACTGCTACTACTACTGCTACTATTGCTGCTACTACTACTACTACTACTCTACTGCTACTACTACTGCTACTACTACTGTTACTACTACTGCTACTACTACTATTGCTACTACTACTACTGCTACTACTGCTATTGTTACTACTACTATTGCTACTACTGTACTACTACTACTACTATTGCTACTACTACTACTACTACTGCTAATACTACTGCTACTATTGCTACTACTACTGTACTACTACTACTATTGCTACTACCACTACTGTACTACTACTGTACTACTACTACTACTGCTACTACTACTACTACTACTGCTGCTGCTGCTACTACTACTACTGCTACTACTACTACTACTACTACTACTACCACCACTACTACTGCTGCTACTACCACTAGTACTGCTACTACCACTAGTACTGCTACTACCACTAGTACTGCTACTACCACTAGTACTGCTACTACCATAGTACTGCTACTACCACTAGTTTCTGCTATACCACTAGTACTGCTACTACCACTAGTACTACCACTAGTACTGCTACTACCACTAGTACTACCACTAGTACTGCTACTACCACTAGTACTGCTACTACCATCTACCTACCACTAGTATACCACTAGTACTGCTACTCCACTGCTACTACCACTAGTACTACCACTAGTACTGCTACTACCACTGCTACTACCACTAGTACTACCACTAGTACTGCTACTACCACTGCTACTACCACTAGTACTGCTGCTACTACCACTAGTACTGCTACTACACTGCTACTACCATAGTACTGCTGCTACTACACTAGTACTGCTACTACCACTGCTACTACCACTAGTACTGCTGCTACTACCACTAGTACTGCTACTACCACTGCTGCTACCACTAGTACTGCTGCTACTACCACTAGTACTGCTGCTACTACCACTAGTACTGCTACTACCACTACTACTACTGCTACTACCACTAGTACTGCTACTACCACTAGTACTGCTACTACCACTAGTACTGCTACTACCACTAGTACTGCTACTACCACTAGTACTGCTACTACCACTACTACTGCTACTACCACTAGTACTAGCAGTACGCCTACTGTTAGGTGTCTTGGCCAGCATCTTGAGGAAAATCTTGGAAAGGTTGATCTCTTTGAGTTGCGGAAGTTCACTACCCTCCAGGAGGCTCTGAACTGCTGCTGACTCAGCCACCTCGTTGATCTTATTATCGCTGCATCACCACCAACAGCAGTAACAGCACCAACAGCAGTAACAGCACCAACAGCAGTAACAGCACCAACAACAACAGCAGGTTTATAGAGTACAGTGTTATTAAGTTTTCCTGCTGACCATGGTATAAAATACCTACAAATTAAAAATTAAAACATATGCATAGTATAAGTGGCTTTGGCATGCTGCTCTTATCTGTATTTTTTTGTACCTCTGTATGTGTGCTCAAATTGTAAATAAATAAATAAATAAATAAATAAATGTGCAACAGTTGGGTATCTTAAATCATGAAAAGTTTCTTCTACACAGTAGACTTCTTCAGTCAGATACAAAGGGAACAGTAAAAGTATCTGAGGTGGTCAGTCCATCAGCCTGGAGAAGAATTTAACAAGGTGGCCAGTCCCTCAGCCTGGAGAAGAATTTAGCTCCGTAGTCTGGAACAGTATCATGTAGGCCTAACGTTGCATCAGTTAAGATACCCAGCTGCTGCAAATGTCTTAATCTTCATTAAGGTTGTCCTTCAGGGTGGGAAAGATAACCTAAAGAAACTTGAAACCCATCTCCAGAGTGTCTCAGAGACGGGATAACATCCATCTATGAAGTTGGTGATTCGAACTGACGTTAACAGTTATAGATCAATAGCTAATCTGCCAATATTATCAACTATACATAAGAAAGAGATGCATAAGGAGATGGATCCGAACTACACCGACATTCCTGCAAATTTAGACTCGGATCAGAGAAGGCACTAATGATGCTGTCTTATAAATGCTTGTTACAGTTGATACCTCAGCCATGTAATGTGAACCCTTATACCTCAGCCATGAAATGTGAACCTTATACCTCAGCCATGAAATGTGAACCCTCATACCTCAGCCATGTAAAATATGAACCTAGGGTTCTTCAAACTAATTATCACACATTAAGGGTGGGTCAGGATTCAGAACCCATACTAAATGACACACCAGGGTTTTCCTAGGTTCTCTACACATATGCTGCTATGTATGATAATTCTATGTAACTGTATTGTGTATACCTGAATAAATTTACTTACTTACTTACTTACTTAATCGACCCCTGCAACCACAAATAGGTGAGCACACTCTGTCCTAAATTAATCCCTAAATCCACTAAATATTAATGTTATTCTTTTTAAACTTTAGTCACTGCCGTCACTGACTCTCCTGTCACTGCCGTCACTGACTCTCCTGTCACTGCCGTCACTGACTCTCCTGTCACTGCCGTCACTGACTCTCCTGTCACTGCCGTCACTGACTCTCCTGTCACTGCCGTCACTTACAGCTGTCCTCTCCTGTTGAATCTGTGAAAGAGAAAAAGAATATCTACATAAATTAAGTGAAAACCCAGGATAACCCAGGGTAGGGAGGTTTAGTCACCCAGGGTAACCCAAGGTAAGGAGGGTTAGTCACCCAGGATTACCCAGGGTAGGGAGGGCTAGCCACCCAGGGTAGGGAGGGTTAGTCACCCAGGATAACCAAGGGGAGAGGGTGAGCCACCAAGGATAACCCAGGGTAGGGAGGGTTAGGCACCCAGGATATCCCTGGGTAGGACGGATTAGCCACCCAGGATATCCCAAAGTAAGTCAGCGTGTTATCGAGGGGCTGTCTGTCTTATTTCCGTTGTAGTCCTTCAATCTTTTCCCCCAGGATGCCACCCACACCAGTCACCTAACATCCAGGTACCTACTTGCTTGCTAGGTGAACAGGGTCAGCAGGTGTCTTAAGGAAACACGCCCAATATTTCCACTCGTGCCGGGAATCGAACTATGGACACTCAATGTGTGAGCCACAACCTCCGGGAAGTAAAGAACTCTTGATCCAAAAACTGAGAGCTTTTCTCCCTTACCCTGGAATCAACCTGATTACTTTCCATCCACCAGGGACTGTATACATTTAATGGGTTCAGGGACTGTAACCTTACAGAGGTGCATAATGGGTCCAGGGACTGTACCTCAACATTATAGAGGTATATAATGGGTCCAAGGGACTGTATCTCAACATTACAGAGGTACATAATGGGTCCAGGGACTGTACCCCAACATTACAGAATTACATAATGGGGTCCAGGGACTGTACCTCAACATTACAGAGGTACATAATGGGTCCAGGGACTGTGCCTCAACATTAGAGGTACATAATGGGTCCAGGGACTGTACATCAACATTACAGAGGTACATAATGGGTCCAGGGACTGTACCTCAACATTACAGAGGTACATAGTGGGTTCAGGGACTGTACCTCAACATTACAGAGGTACATAGTGGGTCCAGGGACTGTACCTCAACATTACAGAGGTACATAGTGGGTCCAGGGACTGTACCTCAACATTACAGAGGTACATAATGGGTCCAGTGACTGTACCTCAACATTACAGAGGTACATAATGGGTCCAGGGACTGTACCTCAACATTACAGAGGTACATAATAGGTCCAGGGACTGTACCTCAACATTACAGAGGTACATAATGGGTCCAGGGACTGTACCTCAACATTACAGAGGTACATAGTGGGTCCAGGGACTGTACCTCAACATTACAGAGGTACATAATGGGTCCAGGGACTGTACCTCAACATTACAGAGGTACATAATGGGTCCAGGGACTGTACCTCAACATTACAGAGGTACATAATGGGTCCAGGGACTGTACCTCAACATTACAGAGGTACATAGTGGGTCCAGGGACTGTACCTCAACATTACAGAGGTACATAATGGGTCCAGGGACTGTACCTCAACATTACAGAGGTACATAATGGGTCCAGGGACTGTACCTCAACATTACAGTGGTAATGAACTATTTACATGTTGATATCTGGTTATAATCGTAATGAGTTATTTATGCAAACATGATTTAAGTCAGAAAAATGTTACATATATTATTATATTTCAGTAAGTTACGCTTGACTTTAGAAAGTTCAAGTGGCTACTTATTACTTAGAGTGATCAAAGTCAGGGTATTGTCCAGAATGGTTTGTAATGTACCACTATGGATAAAGTACTATGGCATTTCTTGAATATTTCTAAATCCATTAAGTTTATCGCAAAGTGTGGCACATTCCAGCACGTAATGACGCAAGGTGTGACGCATTCCAGCACGTAAATGTCCTCATTGGGGTCATTATGCTCTGGCAAGCCATTTGAAAGTCCTGCACAGGCCTCCAAACTTCCCTCAGGACTGGTGAACACTCCTCCAGATGGATCACAAAACTGGATCTGACCTCCCCATGAACCAGATACATGATACATGTCAAGTAAGGCAACAGCGGCACTTCCCTGCTTCATGGGATATCACCCCATTCCAAACTATCATCCCTCCATTCCCCTCCCCCCCCCAAAAAAAAAAAAAAAAAATTATATTGCAACCAAAGCTTCGCCTTGAAGCCAAACAGGATGCTATAAGCTGTATTGATAACTTAGTCACACAATCCACTCTTTGACAGATAATGTATATTGATGGTTCTGTTCACTAATCCACTGGTGCAGCTGGTAGTGTTGTTGTCATACAGAGTGATGGCTCTCATAGAGAAATTGGAGCACGCATCAATAACTCGGCCTCTACCCTTCAAACCGAACTGTTTGCCATACTTCTTGCACCCAAATGCGTCCATGTAACTAACATTCACACATTAATTATAACTGATTCTCTATCAACCATGAATGTTCTCAACTCAATAAGTGTTAATTGTGGCATGCTTGTGTCAGAAGCCAGACGCAGGTATGGCAGGATTGTGGACAGTGGAGTCAGAGTGCACATTTCGTGTATTCCGTCTCACATTGGTCTTCAGATACATGATAGATGTGATACAGTAGCTCAGTTATACGCTTTCAAAAAGTGAGTACCTGGAGTTTACCTGGAGAGAGTTCCGGGGGTCAACGCCCCCGCGGCCCGGTCTGTGACCAGGTAGTTAGTTAACAGTTTGATAACAATAATACGAAAATAGCTTCAAGAGAATTTCACTGACTTGAGACCGAAAGACTGACACCAGTCAGTCCATCTATCATCATTCTAACATGCAGGAGGAGCCACATGTCTATGGTGCATCCAACAAAGTAAGCAGACTCTTGGATGTCACTACCGCCCGGCTCCGGCTGGGTTACAAATATCTTCGGCAGGTTAAATCACCACCACCAGATGTAGACCAAACGAAATATAAACTTTGCCAGATGGACTATTGTCACACCTTGCGTCATTATGTACTGGAGTGTGATAAAATTAATGTATTCAGAGACAACTCACTCAGAAATGTTTAAGAAATGAAAAAATATTTGCACAATGGTATATTACAGACCATCCTGGAGAAATACCCTGACTTTGCTCACTGTAAATAAAGTATTTCTACTTTGTGTGTTTACTTATCTATTTGTACCCACCTATTAGTGGTTGCAGGGGTCGATTCATAGCTCCTGGTCCCGCCTCTTCACTGATTGCTACTAGGTGTGTGTGTGTCTGTGGCCTAATTAATATTTGTATAAATAACTCATTACGATTTTAACATGTAACTTGTTCATTACCACTGTAATGTTGAGGTACAGTCCCTGGACCCATTATATACCTCTGTAATGCTGAGATACAGTCCCTGGACCCATTATGTACCTCTGTAATGTTGAGGTACAGTCCCTGGACCCATTATATACCTCTGTAATGCTGAGATACAGTCCCTGGACCCATTTATGTACCTCTGTAATGTTGAGGTACAGTCCCTGGACCCATTATATACCTCTGTAATGCTGAGATACAGTCCCTGGACCCATTATGTACCTCTGTAATGTTGAGGTACAGTCCCTGGACCCATTATATACCTCTGTAATGCTGAGATACAGTCCCTGGACCCATTATGTACCTCTGTAATGTTGAGGTACAGTCCCTGGACCCATTATATACCTCTGTAATTTCTGAGAATACAGTCCCTGGACCCATTATGTACCTCTGTAATGTTGAGGTACAGTCCCTGGACCCATTATATACCTCTGTAATGCTGAGATACAGTCCCTGGACCCATTATATACCTCTGTAATGTTGAGGTACAGTCCCTGGACCCATTATGTACCTCTGTAATGTTGAGGTACAGTCCCTGGACCCATTATATACCACTGTAATGTTGAGGTACAGTCCATGGACCCATTATGTACCTCTGTAATGTTGAGGTACAGTCCCTGGACCCATTATGTACCTCTGTAATGTTGAGGTACAGTCCCTGGACCCATTATATACCTCTGTAATGCTGAGATACAGTCCCTGGACCCATTATATACCTCTGTAATGTTGAGGTACAGTCCCTGGACCCATTATGTACCTCTGTAATGTTGAGGTACAGTCCCTGGACCCATTATATACCATTGTAATGTTGAGGTACAGTCCATGGACCCATTATGTACCTCTGTAATGTTGAGGTACAGTCCCTGGACCCATTATGTACCTCTGTAATGTTGAGGTACAGTCCCTGGACCCATTATATACCTCTGTAATGCTCAGATACAGTCCCTGGACCCATTATATACCTCTGTAATGTTGAGGTACAGTCCCTGGACCCATTATGTACCTCTGTAATGTTGAGGTACAGTCCCTGGACCCATTATATACCACTAATGTTGAGGTACAGTCCATGGACCCATTATGTACCTCTGTAATGTTGAGGTACAGTCCCTGGACCCATTATGTACCTCTGTAATGTTGAGGTACAGTCCCTGGACCCATTATATACCTCTGTAATGTTGAGGTACAGTCCCTGGACCCATTATATACCTCTGTAATGTTGAGGTAAAGTCCCTGGACCCATTATGTGCCTCTGTAATGTTGAGGTACAGTCCCTGGACCCATTATATACCACTGTAATGTTGAGGTACAGTCCATGGACCCATTATGTACCTCTGTAATGTTGAGGTACAGTCCCTGGACCCATTATGTACCTCTGTAATGTTGAGGTAAGATAAGATAAGAGATAAGATAAGATTTCGTTCGGATTTTTAACCCCGGAGGGTTAGCCACCCAGGATAACCCAAGAAAGTCAGTGCGTCATCGAGGACTGTCTAACTTATTTCCATTGGGGTCCTTAATCTTGTCCCCCAGGATGCGACCCACACCAGTCGACTAACACCCAGGTACCTATTTGCTGCTAGGTGAACAGGTGTAAGGAAACGTGTCGGAATGTTTCCACCCGCCGGGAATCGAACCCGGGCCCTCCGTGTGTGAAGCGGGAGCTTTAGCCACCAGGCCACCGGGCCACCCTGAACCCATTATGTACCTCTGTAATGTTGAGGTACAGTCCCTGGACCCATTATGTACCTATGCAATGTTGAGGTA